TATAGAACTGAACACTATGGTTTTTAAACTCAGTCATCGCATTGTAGGTTGACTTCACGACAGTCAATATAATTTCATTTCAGAGTTGAGCGCAAAACAGATGGAACCAACTATGAAAAATACAGAGGAAATGGTGTTTGTTGGAAATCATTAATACTCCTCACTGTTCAACAGTTGCAGCGCATCGATTGCTGCATGAGTCACAAAATAGAATGGTGCTCTTGAGGTTCTTCATGTTCAAATCCATGGTTGCAAGCTGCACAACTTGTGCTTTGTGAGACGGTGCAGTGTCTTGTAGCAAAGAAAGGCTCCAAGTACATGTTAGCTCTGGTGTTCTGGGATAACAGACCTTCATTCAGACACCTGTGGTAACCCAAAACACAGCACCGTTGTTTCTGTAGAGACCCTTGTGCTCTCAGCTCCACTGCATGCTACAAATGTCGAACTGGGAAGACGGTGAACCAAAACCTTATTTATTGCCACGGTGCCATCTCAATGTTTTCTGTCTGCCACTTTTGAGCAACTGTCAGCAGCAGTGTATCTCCGTCTTCTTATGGTTTATGCGTAAACAGACTTGAAATACAGCAGGTCTATGCTTGTCTCGTGTTGCCTCCAAGTCGTCACATTGGCTGTCCCCAGCAAACATACTCTCAATGAGCTGAAGTGTTTCAGCTGAACAGTGAAGGTTACTCTGAATGCATCCAGGTGGGATTTACTGAAAATTCCCGAGTGCAGTAGAAGTGTCGCTTGACAAGCATCGAGAAAACACAAGTGCTGCCAGTGCACACAGCCAGTGGTCAGGTGATGGATGTTAGAAGACAGCAACAAGAAGATCTTTGTACGAAACAAAACTTTTATGTAATATAAGATATGTTTGCCTGTTACAAATTCACAAAAACATGTCAGTGTAAATATTCCAAGAATCAAACACAGGAGTCTAGTCTATCCACAGATCAGTTAGGCAGATAACTGAGAAGCCAGGAGTTGTTTGTGTACACGCACACAACACCGATTGAACAAACAAAGATGCTGACTAACAGTCACAACTCTGGGCTAGTCTCATCAATGAGAACACTCACAAACCAGCCATTGAACTCTTTCTAGCAGCCATTGCAATATCAGTGGCCCGGGAAGCGCATGAGTAGATCCATAGGTTAAACAGTGCCAATCTCATGCCTTCAAGGTTACTATAAACATGACCAGTCCTGCCCAAATTCCAGTTGTGGGTCCAGGAGGGAGAGAGACCTTACTTGTGATGACACCTGTCTCAAGGTGTCTAGTTAGTAAATGTAAACACATTCAACCTGCCTTAAATAAGACTCTAGTATCATTTGAAGATGGCAGGTTCACATTCAGATGTGTCTATAGTTTTCAAGTGTTCCTCAGTCTATTAAATCTTCTATTTCAACTTCTTGCTAAGCTCACTGGTGCCAGTGTGTGTCTCTCCCATGTTAGGATCAACCAGGCAGTCACGTGCTACAGGCATGAAACACAATTACTACATAGCATGCTGAGGAATGTCAGCCCCACCACATCTCACCAGACACTCAGCCCCACCACATTTCACCAGCCAACCACTCAGCCCTACGACACCTCACCAGCCAACCACTCAGCCCTACCACACCTCACCAGCCAACCACTCAGCCCTACCACATCTCACCAACCAACCACTCAGCCCCATGGTAAACCCCTCCCTCTACACGGAATCTGGGTAAAGCCTTCTCAAACAACACAAACTATAACCCCTCCCTGCACATAGCAGAACTCCCCCTCCAAGGGTACAGATCAAACTAGAAAACCTATGTACAAAAGTGATTCTGATAAAAACATCAGGATGCTCGCTAATGTTGGGTTCTGCTGTGTGATCTCTGAGAACAGACTCCAGAAGATCTGCAGGCCACCATAGTAATTCTTTACAAACACAACCAATATAAAAATAAAGAAATGTCTGTGACCACAAGATATCTTCACCCGCTGGTCATGTCTGTTTATCTACATGTAACTACCTGAATGGGTCATGTCTGTTTATCTACATGTAACTACCTGAATGGATCATGTCTGTTTATCTACATGTAACTACCTGAATGGATCATGTCTGTTTATCTACATGTAACTACCTGGATGGGTCATGTCTGTTTATCTACATGTAACTACCTGGATGGGTCATGTCTGTTTATCTACATGTAACTACCTGAATGGATCATGTCTGTTTATCTACATGTAACTACCTGAATGGATCATGTCTGTTTATCTACATGTAACTACCTGAATGGGTCATGTCTGTTTATCTACATGTAACTACCTGAATGGGTCATGTCTGTTTATCTACATGTAACTACCTGAATGGATCATGTCTGTTTATCTACATGTAACTACCTGAATGGATCATGTCTGTTTATCTACATGTTACTACCTGAATGGATCATGTCTGTTTATCTACATGTAACTACCTGAATGGGTCATGTCTGTTTATCTACATGTAACTACCTGAATGGGTCATGTCTGTTTATCTACATGTTACTACCTGAATGGATCATGTCTGTTTATCTACATGTTACTACCTGAATGGATCATGTCTGTTTATCTAAATGTAACTACCTGAATGGAGGCAAGGGACCTCATGCTCCACATCACAACAAGAATGAAAGAATAACAGCTGCTCATTTATTCTTTAAAAATGTATATACAAATATTTAGGTTTGGAATGTATCATACAACAGTGCTGCAATGAACATCTCAATGAACATCTCAATAAACATCTGTACACAAACATCTAAATATAAACACAGGTGATGATGAGAAAATAACATGATGGTGGGGAAAATAACAAAGATGGTGGTGATGAGAACAAAAATGATGATGGCAGGACCGCAGGCCTACATGCAGGGAGCAGGGATCAGACAGTGTGCAACGGGAACAGCAGTATGTGATCACTAGTCTATTAACAAGAACAGGCAGAAATTCTCTGCCACCAATTAAATCCATTTTGGCTTGTCTATCAGGAAAAAGTAAAGTAATGATCCCTTTTCACGCATTTAGGTGCATTGGGCATATGAGAAGAGCACCCATATTTTTACACACCAATCGGCACTATGTGGGTAATGTGATCAGCATTACACCAGCCACCTTTACTTCCCCAGGACATACATCATAGTATCCATTTTAGGTTGGGTCGACCTGCGACGCCCCATACCATAATAAAAATCCATGCAGCCAGCGGTGGGTTTTGATCGCGGTTCATTAGAATAATGAGTCAGACTCACAACACCTAAGCCATGGACACCGCGTCTATCGGGGAAACTACCTTTAAATGAAGTAACGATCAGTCTGCTGGGAGAGGGGAAGGGGGGCTTGCTGCTTTTGAACAGGATGCCTCTTGACTTGATTAATAAACACAGGACAACCCAGGCCTTGTGGTGGGATTTTGGTGGCACAGAGGCAAGTTTACTCGCCTGGTGATATGGAGTCAAGGGTTCAATTCTCATCAAAACAGATTCTTCAATATTGATCTGGGCTGCAGTGTTAACCCAGTCTATAAACAGGTACTGGGAAATGTTTCAGAAGCAAAAGCGGCACTGGTAATGGTGACCTCAGAACTTAGTGGGTACTGATTTGGTCTTTGCAATATGGGGACATAACCAACGCCCGATGCACTTCAAGACGTCAAGGGTTCTTCATGTAGTGTGCTTATAATGATGAGTTTAGCCAGGAATGTTAAAAGGGTGTATGGTTGACATAATACCAGTAAATAAGACACACTTGCTGACAGACACATGTATACAAATGATGAATTCTGTCAGCTATGATAACAATTGGAATGTTAGACAATATACTAGTAAATATTATACATCAGACCACAGACATTTATAGACAAGCGTCAGTTTCCTGGTCTGCCTGGAGCCAGACACATCACAACCTCTGCAGCAAACAGACAGACAGCAGCATGATACAAGTGGCAACGTTGAAGGACAAGATAGCAGCACTAGCTCTTGGCCCTGATGGAATTGTGGACTCTGGGGATGACAGCAAATTTATGAGCATGAGATTTCTTACAATAACTGTGCTTAGTTGTATCAATAAATACATGAGTGGATGAATCAAAATTCCCACATGTGCTCCGTGACTCTGAGAATGACAGCAAATTTATGAGCATGAGATTTCTTACAATAACTGTGCTTAGTTGTATCAATAAATACATGAGTGGATGAATCAAGAATTGACAACTCTGCACTCGGGACATTCCACACGTGCTCCGTCCACCTTTTCAGTAGCCAAAGATGACATGCTATAATAGTACCAGTTGCAATCAGAATTAAAGCCCACCTTTGTTTCCCTCTTCAATATTGAATCTCTTCCAGAACCTTCACAAACCCAACCTGTTGAATTAGTCTTTCAGTGTATGTATTCCCTATCCGTTTTTTTTTTTGTTGCACAGTCCATTTACTCCCATAGAGCCTTCACCACATCCACTTTATCATGCAGTAGCTCACTACCCAGTGGAGTGGCAGCAGCTAATCTATCAGCCTGCTCGTTACCTAGCATACGTGAATATCCTTGACAAAAAATCCATGATATACCTTTGAACTGGGTCTTATCAAGTGATGCCAGACACTCTCAGTTATAAAGGTTGCTTCAAAGTAAATTAACTGTAACATTTAATCCCAGCCTGCTCACAGGACTGGCAGTATCGGATTTATTATCTGTCCACCCTGTGACTTCACGGCAAAACATTGCATTACTTCGGCCTTTCTTGGTTTACCTTCCCTACAAAACATGATACTACTTTAGTAGTACTTAGTTTAACTACACTACAAAGCACTGTACTACTTTAGTAGTACTTAGTTTTTCACTACAAAATAAACCTAAACACAAACCATGACAAGACAGCTCATTGGAGGAGAGACAAAGATGTCTACATAAACCATGACAGGACAGCTCATTGGAGGAGAGACAAAGATGTGTACACAAACCATGACAAGACAGCTCATTGGAGGAGAGACAAAGATGTCTACACAAACCATGACAAGACAGCTCATTGGAGGAGAGACAAAGATGTCTACATAAACCATGACAAGACAGCTCATTGGAGGAGAGACAAAGATGTGTACACAAACCATGACAAGACAGCTCATTGGAGGAGAGACAAAGATGTGTACATAAACCATGACAAGACAGCTCATTGGAGGAGAGACAAAGATGTCTACATAAACCATGACAGGACAGCTCATTGGAGGAGAGACAAAGATGTGTACATAAACCATGACAAGACAGCTCATTGGAGGAGAGACAAAGATGTGTACACAAACCATGACAAGACAGCTCATTGGAGGAGAGACAAAGATGTGTACATAAACCATGACAAGACAGCTCATTGGAGGAGAGACAAAGATGTGTACACAAACCATGACAAGACAGCTCATTGGAGGAGAGACAAAGATGTCTACACAAACCATGACAAGACAGCTCATTGGAGGAGAGACAAAGATGTGTACACAAACCATGACAAGACAGCTCATTGGAGGAGAGACAAAGATGTGTACACAAACCATGACAAGACAGCTCATTGGAGGAGAGACAAAGATGTGTACACAAACCATGACAAGACAGCTCATTGGAGGAGAGACAAAGATGTGTACATAAACCATGACAAGACAGCTCATTGGAGGAGAGACAAAGATGTCTACATAAACCATGACAAGACAGCTCATTGGAGGAGAGACAAAGATGTGTACATAAACCATGACAAGACAGCTCATTGGAGGAGAGACAAAGATGTGTACATAAACCATGACAAGACAGCTCATTGGAGGAGAGACAAAGATGTGTACATAAACCATGACAAGACAGCTCATTGGAGGAGAGACAAAGATGTGTACACAAACCATGACAAGACAGCTCATTGGAGCAGAGACAAAGATGTCTACATAAACAGCTCATTGGAGGAGAGACAAAGATGTCTACATAAACCATGACAAGACAGCTCACTGGAGGAGAGACAAAGATGTCTACATAAACAGCTCATTGGAGGACAGACAAAGATGTGTACATAAACTATGACAAGACAGCTCACTGGAGGAGAGACAAAGATGTCTACATAAACCATGACAAGACAGCTCATTGGAGAAATGGGAAGCAGAGATGTGAGATATTTTTTTCCTTCATAAATTATGTACTTTTTTTTTAAAGATAAAGCATGATTAAAATTGATTCCAACAGGACATAGAAATGCTGGGGAAAAAAAGACAATTTTTCTAGAAAAGCTGGCTTGTTCAATAACCTGAGCAAGATTTAATGGCAGCAACAAAGATTTCAATGCCATTGTGATTGTCACAGCTCTTTAACAATAACTAAATTTTTTCCTATTATAATTTGCCAATTCGTAGCTGACCTTGTCAGTTGTTGGTTTAGTCTGTTACTTTGTCTGTGGATAAAGAATGGATGAAACACAAAGATTAAACGACAATTGTGACATAAAGACCTGAATTCACCTGTGAACTGGATGGTCGCATACAGTGAGCCCTTTTCATTGACAGCCGAACACCTATAGCCTCCAAAGTCCTGAGGCAGGACCTCTCTAATATACAGAATGCTGGTAATTTTGTTGGAGGCGCCAGGGATGTTACGTACCTCCCTCCTACAACAGAAACAACAAATCATCATATTTAACCTGCCACCTGTCCCTCTATGTAGGGTTTTTAATGCTAACAATGAAATAAAACATACCCACAAAGAAAACATTAGAAACCACGAGGCAATTAATCTCAGCCAGCCCATACATATTTGCTGTTCTAAAAGTGATTAGCTCACAGCCCACTCTATAGTTCTAAGATAGAGCTCTTCAACTGGAGGTCCACTAGTCAAATCTGGCCTGTGGGGGCCTAGCAAGTGGCCCGTGTATCATCACCAGGCTGGGACCCAGGACCTCTGGCCCGTGTATCATCACCAGGCTGTGACCCAGAACCTCTGGCCCGTGTATCATCACCAGGCTGGGACCCAGGACCTCTGGCCCGTGTATCATCACCAGGCTGGGACCCAGAACCTCTGGCCCGTGTATCATCACCAGGCTGGGGCCCAGGACCTCTGGCCCGTGTATCATCACCAGGCTGGGACCCAGAACCTCTGGCCCGTGTATCATCACCAGGCTGGGACCCAGAACCTCTGGCCCGTATATCATCACCAGGCTGGGGCCCAGGACCTCTGGCCCGTGTATCATCACCAGGCTGGGACCCAGAACCTCTGGCCCGTGTATCATCACCAGGCTGGGGCCCAGGACCTCTGGCCCGTGTATCATCACCAGGCTGGGACCCAGAACCTCTGGCCCGTGTATCATCACCAGGCTGGGACCCAGAACCTCTGGCCCGTGTATCATCACCAGGCTGGGACCCAGAACCTCTGGCCCGTGTATCATCACCAGGCTGGGGCCCAGGACCTCTGGCCCGTGTATCATCACCAGGCTGTGACCCAGAACCTCTGGCCCGTGTATCATCACCAGGCTGGGGCCCAGAACCTCTGGCCCGTGTATCATCACCAGGCTGTGACCCAGAACCTCTGGCCCGTGTATCATCACCAGGCTGTGACCCAGGACCTCTGGCCCGTGTATCATCACCAGGCTGTGACCCAGGACCTCTGGCCCGTGTATCATCACCAGGCTGTGACCCAGAACCTCTGGCCCGTGTATCATCACCAGGCTGGAGCCCAGAACCTCTGGCCCGTGTATCATCACCAGGCTGGGACCCAGAACCTCTGGCCCGTGTATCATCACCAGGCTGGAGCCCAGAACCTCTGGCCCGTGTATCATCACCAGGCTGGGACCCAGAACCTCTGGCCCGTGTATCATCACCAGGCTGTGACCCAGGACCTCTGGCCCGTGTATCATCACCAGGCTGTGACCCAGGACCTCTGGCCCGTGTATCATCACCAGGCTGGGACCCAGGACCTCTGGCCCGTGTATCATCACCAGGCTGTGACCCAGAACCTCTGGCCCGTGTATCATCACCAGGCTGGAGCCCAGAACCTCTGGCCCGTGTATCATCACCAGGCTGGAGCCCAGAACCTCTGGCCCGTGTATCATCACCAGGCTGTGACCCAGAACCTCTGGCCCGTGTATCATCACCAGGCTGGAGCCCAGAACCTCTGGCCCGTGTATCATCACCAGGCTGTGACCCAGAACCTCTGGCCCGTGTATCATCACCAGGCTGGGACCCAGAACCTCTGGCCCGTGTATCATCACCAGGCTGGAGCCCAGAACCTCTGGCCCGTGTATCATCACCAGGCTGTGACCCAGAACCTCTGGCCCGTGTATCATCACCAGGCTGTGACCCAGAACCTCTGGCCCGTGTATCATCACCAGGCTGTGACCCAGAACCTCTGGCCCGTGTATCATCACCAGGCTGTGACCCAGAACCTCTGGCCCGTGTATCATCACCAGGCTGGGACCCAGGACCTCTGGCCCGTGTATCATCACCAGGCTGGGACCCAGGACCTCTGGCCCGTGTATCATCACCAGGCTGTGACCCAGAACCTCTGGCCCGTGTATCATCACCAGGCTGGAGCCCAGAACCTCTGGCCCGTGTATCATCACCAGGCTGGAGCCCAGAACCTCTGGCCGTGTATCATCACCAGGCTGGAGCCCAGAACCTCTGGCCCGTGTATCATCACCAGGCTGGGACCCAGAACCTCTGGCCCGTGAAGATCCCCTTTTTGACCCCTCAGTTGGAGAGGGTAAAGAGAGTTGTGCAACAGTTACTGTAAACTTTGTACTTTAGCAGTATCAGAACACAAGCCTCAACACGAGGCTGAATGAAGAGAGATCTTGTCAGGACACAGATGACCTGAGTTGCCTGTGGTTCCAGAGTCCCACTGTGGGGAAAGCAGTACTACTGCCTCCTAAAAAATCATGTCGTAAAAGTCGACTAATTGGGGGTCTCCTTCCAAGTCAGAGCACATCTGCCTAAGAGGCTAGGAAACAACAATCTGTATACAAATGTGTTAGATCTGTAAAATGGATGTGCATGCATCACAAAGGTTCTAGAACAAGATTAAACTGCATAAGGGGCAAACAGCCAGAGTTTTTGGCCGACGAACGCAAAGAAGAAGATGATGACAACCTCACTGATTGTAAATCATAGATTAAAAGTTTAAACACTCAGGCTCCAAGAAAACGTAAAAACCGGCCAAGCAACTCATCTTAACCAATTTGTTTACTTCATTCTTGACTTTTACCAGCTGTAAACTCTGGCAGAAAGTCCTGGTTGTTAACCTACTTCTGGACACTGGTCTTGTCCCAGGACTTCTGGACACTGGTCTTGTCCCAGGACTTCTGGACACTGGTCTTGTCCCAGGACTTTTGGACACTGGTCTTGTCCCAGGACTTCTGGACACTGGTCTTGTCCCAGGACTTCTGGACACTGGTCTTGTCCCAGGACTTCTGGACACTGGTCTTGTCCCAGGACTTCTGGACACTGGTCTTGTCCCAGGACTTCTGGACACTGGTCTTGTCCCAGGACTTCTGGACAGTGACTGCACACAAACCCGGGGTTATCCTTATAACATACCATCTGAGATGGGAACCAGTGTTCTTAGGGAAAGAAAGGAACTGATGTGCACATCACCCAGTACAGCAGTCTTAAACCATCTTGTCTCAACAATCAGTGGACATTAGAAAAATATACCAGCAGACAACATGGGCATTCCTCACTGTCCAAGGAAGCCAGCACACAACATGGGCATTCTTCACTGTCCAAGGAAGCCAGCAGACAACATGGGCATTCCTCACTGTCCAAGGAAGTCAGCACACAACATGGGCATTCTTCACTGTCCAAGGAAGTCAGCACACAACATGGGCATTCTTCACTGTCCAAGGAAGTCAGCAGACAACATGGGCATTCCTCACTGTCCAAGGAAGTCAGCACACAACATGGGCATTCTTCACTGTCCAAGGAAGTCAGCACACAACATGGGCATTCTTCACTGTCCAAGGAAGTCAGCACACAACATGGGCATTCTTCATTGTCCAAGGAAGTCAGCACACAACATGGGCATTCTTCATTGTCCAAGGAAGCCAGCACACAACATGGGCATTCTTCACTGTCCAAGGAAGCTTTCATGAAGCCAGCACACAACATGGGCATTCCTCACTGTCCAAGGAAGCTTTCATGAAGCCAGCAGACAACATGGGCATTCTTCACTGTCCAAGGAAGCCAGCACACAACATGGGCATTCTTCATTGTCCAAGGAAGCCAGCACACAACATGGGCATTCTTCACTGTCCAAGGAAGCTTTCATGAAGCCAGCAGACAACATGGGCATTCCTCACTGTCCAAGGAAGCTTTCATGAAGCCAGCAGACAACATGGGCATTCTTCACTGTCCAAGGAAGCCAGCACACAACATGGGCATTCTTCATTGTCCAAGGAAGCCAGCACACAACATGGGCATTCTTCACTGTCCAAGGAAGCTTTCATGAAGCCAGCAGACAACATGGGCATTCCTCACTGTCCAAGGAAGCCAGCAGACAACATGGGCATTCTTCACTGTCCAAGGAAGTCAGCACACAACATGGGCATTCTTCACTGTCCAAGGAAGCCAGCACACAACATGGGCATTCTTCACTGTCCAAGGAAGCCAGCACACAACATGGGCATTCCTCACTGTCCAAGGAAGCCAGCACACAACATGGGCATTCTTCATTGTCCAAGGAAGCCAGCACACAACATGGGCATTCTTCACTGTCCAAGGAAGCTTTCATGAAGCCAGCAGACAACATGGGCATTCCTCACTGTCCAAGGAAGCTTTCATGAAGCCAGCAGACAACATGGGCATTCTTCACTGTCCAAGGAAGCCAGCACACAACATGGGCATTCTTCATTGTCCAAGGAAGCCAGCACACAACATGGGCATTCTTCACTGTCCAAGGAAGCTTTCATGAAGCCAGCAGACAACATGGGCATTCCTCACTGTCCAAGGAAGCCAGCAGACAACATGGGCATTCTTCACTGTCCAAGGAAGTCAGCACACAACATGGGCATTCTTCACTGTCCAAGGAAGCCAGCACACAACATGGGCATTCTTCACTGTCCAAGGAAGCCAGCACACAACATGGGCATTCCTCACTGTCCAAGGAAGCCAGCACACAACATGGGCATTCTTCATTGTCCAAGGAAGCCAGCACACAACATGGGCATTCTTCACTGTCCAAGGAAGCCAGCAGACAACATGGGCATTCCTAACTGTCCAAGGAAGCCAGCAGACAACATGGGCATTCCTCACTGTCCAAGGAAGCCAGCACACAACATGGGCATTCCTCACTGTCCAAGGAAGCCAGCACACAACATGGGCATTCTTCATTGTCCAAGGAAGCCAGCACACAACATGGGCATTCTTCATTGTCCAAGGAAGCCAGCAGACAACATGGGCATTCTTCATTGTCCAAGGAAGCCAGCACACAACATGGGCATTCTTCATTGTCCAAGGAAGCCAGCAGACAACATGGGCATTCCTCACTGTCCAAGGAAGCCAGCAGACAACATGGGCATTCTTCACTGTCCAAGGAAGCCAGCAGACAACATGGGCATTCCTCACTGTCCAAGGAAGCCAGCACACAACATGGGCATTCTTCACTGTCCAAGGAAGTCAGCACACAACATGGGCATTCTTCATTGTCCAAGGAAGCCAGCACACAACATGGGCATTCTTCATTGTCCAAGGAAGCCAGCACACAACATGGGCATTCCTCACTGTCCAAGGAAGCCAGCAGACAACATGGGCATTCTTCACTGTCCAAGGAAGCCAGCACACAACATGGGCATTCTTCATTGTCCAAGGAAGCCAGCACACAACATGGGCATTCTTCATTGTCCAAGGAAGCCAGCACACAACATGGGCATTCTTCATTGTCCAAGGAAGCCAGCAGACAACATGGGCATTCTTCATTGTCCAAGGAAGCCAGCAGACAACATGGGCATTCTTCATTGTCGAAGGAAGCCAGCACACAACATGGGCATTCCTCACTGTCCAAGGAAGCCAGCAGACAACATGGGCATTCTTCACTGTCCAAGGAAGCCAGCACACAACATGGGCATTCTTCATTGTCCAAGGAAGCCAGCACACAACATGGGCATTCTTCATTGTCCAAGGAAGCCAGCACACAACATGGGCATTCCTCACTGTCCAAGGAAGTCAGCACACAACATGGGCATTCTTCACTGTCCAAGGAAGTCAGCAGACAACATGGGCATTCCTCACTGTCCAAGGAAGTCAGCACACAACATGGGCATTCTTCACTGTCCAAGGAAGTCAGCACACAACATGGGCATTCTTCACTGTCCAAGGAAGTCAGCACACAACATGGGCATTCTTCATTGTCCAAGGAAGTCAGCACACAACATGGGCATTCTTCATTGTCCAAGGAAGCCAGCACACAACATGGGCATTCTTCACTGTCCAAGGAAGCTTTCATGAAGCCAGCACACAACATGGGCATTCCTCACTGTCCAAGGAAGCTTTCATGAAGCCAGCAGACAACATGGGCATTCTTCACTGTCCAAGGAAGCCAGCACACAACATGGGCATTCTTCATTGTCCAAGGAAGCCAGCACACAACATGGGCATTCTTCACTGTCCAAGGAAGCTTTCATGAAGCCAGCAGACAACATGGGCATTCCTCACTGTCCAAGGAAGCTTTCATGAAGCCAGCAGACAACATGGGCATTCTTCACTGTCCAAGGAAGCCAGCACACAACATGGGCATTCTTCATTGTCCAAGGAAGCCAGCACACAACATGGGCATTCTTCACTGTCCAAGGAAGCTTTCATGAAGCCAGCAGACAACATGGGCATTCCTAACTGTCCAAGGAAGCCAGCAGACAACATGGGCATTCCTCACTGTCCAAGGAAGCCAGCACACAACATGGGCATTCTTCACTGTCCAAGGAAGCCAGCACACAACATGGGCATTCTTCATTGTCCAAGGAAGCCAGCACACAACATGGGCATTCTTCATTGTCCAAGGAAGCCAGCACACAACATGGGCATTCCTCACTGTCCAAGGAAGCCAGCAGACAACATGGGCATTCTTCACTGTCCAAGGAAGCCAGCACACAACATGGGCATTCTTCATTGTCCAAGGAAGCCAGCACACAACATGGGCATTCTTCATTGTCCAAGGAAGCCAGCACACAACATGGGCATTCCTCACTGTCCAAGGAAGCCAGCAGACAACATGGGCATTCTTCATTGTCCAAGGAAGCCAGCACACAACATGGGCATTCTTCACTGTCCAAGGAAGCCAGCACACAACATGGGCATTCTTCACTGTCCAAGGAAGCCAGCACACAACATGGGCATTCTTCACTGTCCAAGGAAGCCAGCACACAACATGGGCATTCTTCACTGTCCAAGGAAGCCAGCACACAACATGGGCATTCTTCACTGTCCAAGGAAGCCAGCACACAACATGGGCATTCTTCACTGTCCAAGGAAGCTTTCATGGAGCCAGCAGACACAAATTACATCTGTATCTGTGTCTGCTGGCTGCATGACCACAGCACTGTGTATCTGTGTCTGCTGGCTTTACGACCACAGCACCACGTATCTGTGCTTGCTGGCTTCAAGACCACATACAGCACCAGGTATCTGTGTCTGCTAGTTTCATGACCACAGACAGCACCACATATCTGTGTCTGCTGGCTTCATGACCACAGCACCACATATCTGTGTCTGCTGGCTTCATGACCACAGACAGCACAACGTATCTGTGTCTGCTGGCTTTATGACCACAGACAGCACAACGTATCTGTGTCTGCTGGCTTCATGACCACAGACAGCACCAGGTATCTGTGTCTGCTGGCTTTATGACCACAGACAGCACAATGTATCTGTGTCTGCTGGCTTTATGACCACAGACAGCACAATGTATCTGTGTCTGCTGGCTTTATGACCACAGACAGCACAATGTATCTGTGTCTGCTGGCTTTATGACCACAGACAGCACAATGTATCTGTGTCTGCTGGCTTTATGACCACAGACAGTACTACCTATCTCTGTCTGCTGGCTTTATGACCACAGACAGCACTACCTATCTCTGTCTGCTGGCTTTATGACCACAGACAGCACTACCTATCTCTGTCTGCTGGCTTTATGACCACAGACAGCACTACCTATCTCTGTCTGCTGGCTTTATGACCACAGACAGCACTACCTATCTCTGTCTGCTGGCTTTATGACCACAGACAGCACTACCTATCTGTGTCTGCTGGCTTTATGACCACAGACAGCACTACCTATCTGTGTCTGCTGGCTTTATGACCACAGACAGCACAATGTATCTGTGTCTGTTGGCTTTATGACCACAGACAGCACAATGTATCTGTGTCTGCTGGCTTTATGACCACAGACAGTACTACGTATCTGTGTCTGCTGGCTTTATGACCACAGACAGCACTACGTATCTGTGTCTGCTGGCTTTATGACCACAGACAGTACTACGTATCTGTGTCTGCTGGCTTTATGACCACAGACAGTACTACGTATCTGTGTCTGCTGGCTTTATGACCACAGACAGTACTACGTATCTGTGTCTGCTGGCTTTATGACCACAGACAGCACCAGGTATCTGTGTCTGCTGGCTTTATGACCACAGACAGTACTACGTATCTGTGTCTGCTGGCTTTATGACCACAGACAGCACTACCTATCTCTGTCTGCTGGCTTTATGACCACAGACAGTACTACGTATCTGTGTCTGCTGGCTTTATGACCACAGACAGCACTACCTATCTCTGTCTGCTGGCTTTATGAAAACTTCCTTGGACAGAAAGGAATGCCTATGTTCTGTAATGCCATATTTTGAGAGCTGACCAGCATTAGGTGACTGCTTTGGATCAGCATGATAGGGTCTACTCGTGTGGATCAGCATGATGGGGTCTACTTGTGTGGATCAGCATGATCTACTTGTAGCAGTGTTCAGGGTACACTGAGTTGTAAAATCAATCTCACCTATAGTCGCTGATGATAGGCTGGCCTTCTTTAGTCCAAGAAATCTGTTCGGGTGTCGGCGGTGGGTAGCCCTTAATGTTACAGACCAGTTTCTTGGTGTACCCAACAGCTTGGTTGGCAAACGGGTTGTTAGCCACAACTTCTGGTCGAACTGAAGGGGAAGAAACAACAAACACTACCCATTACCTATACTGCAAACAGTTATCTATATTTCATACCATCAAACATATGAACAACAATTATTTAGGGTTGAAACCATCAAACATATGAACAACAATTATCTAGGGTTGAAACCATAAAACATAAGAACAAAAACTATCTAGGGTTGAAACCATAAAACAAATAAACAACAATTATCTAGGGTTGAAACCATAAAACATAAACAACATTGATCTAGGGTTGAAACCATAAAACATAACAACAATCATCAGGGGTTGAAACCATCAAACATATGAACAACAATTATCTAGGGTTGAAAATATTAAACATATGAACAACAATTATCTAGGGTTGAAACCATAAAACATATGAACAACAATTATCTAGGGTTGAAACCATAAAACATATGAACAACAATTATCTAGGGTTGAAACTATAAAACAAATAAACAACAATTATCTAGGGTTGAAACCATAAAACATAAACAACATTGATCTAGGGTTGAAACCATAAAACATAACAACAATCAACAGGGGTTGAAACCATCAAACATATGAACAACAATTATCTAGGGTTGAAAATATCAAACATATGAACAACAATTATCTAGGGTTGAAACCATAAAACATATGAACAACAATTATCTAGGGTTGAAACCATAAAACATATGAACAACAATTATCTAGGGTTGAAACTATAAAACAAATAAACAACAATTATCTAGGGTTGAAACCATAAAACATAAACAACATTGATCTAGGGTTGAAACCATAAAACATAACAATTATCAGGGGTTGAAACCATAAAACATATAAACAACAATTACCAAGTGTTGAAACCATTGAACATATGAACAACAATTATCTAGGGTTGAAACAATAAAACAAATATTATTTAGGGTTGAAACCATAAAACACATGAACAACAATTATCTAGGGTTGAAACCATAAAACATATGAACAACATTTATCTAGGGTTGAAACCATAAAAAATATGAACAACATGTATCTAGGGTTGAAACCATCAAACACATGAACAACAATTATCTAGAGTTAAAACCATCAAACAACACATCAGCTACAGGAAAGTGCCCCCTGGCCAACAGTCGACCCCAGGGACCAGACATGTTCAGTAACTCTGTGAAGACTTAGAAAGACAGCACTTACAACTGACGGTGAGCCTGATTTCTCTGGTATCTACTCCAGCGGAGTTCTCGGCCGTACACTTGTAGATGCCGGCATGATCGGCTTGGACCCGAGTGATGACCAAAACATTCCCCTGCCGAGTTCAAACAGACACAATTCAAATCTGAGGCTGAGCAAACTATAACAAATGCAGACTTCACAAACAAGCACAGAAACCCGTCTGCATGTCAACATGACACATTGAGGCTGCAATGTCAGATCCGGTGTTCTGACCATGTGCCACGTGTGGGGTGATGTTCTGGGTCCCAATGACCATGTCTACTTGTGAGGTGATGTTCTGTGTCCCACTGACCATGTGCTACATGTGGGGTGATGTTCTGGGTCCCAATGACCATGTCTACTTGTGGGGTGATGTTCTGTGTCCCAATGACCATGTCTACTTGTGGGGTGATGTTCTGGGTCCCAATGACCATGTCTACTTGTGGGGTGATGTTCTGTGTCCCACTGACAGTGGCTACTTGTGGGGTGAGTTTCTGTGTCCCAACGGACTACCTGCCATCCACAAAACACAATGGTGCCAATTTTATGAGATCAGAGTCACATAGTCACAAAAATATTCACCCTCGAAGACTTTAATCAAGATGTCCTGGACTGCAGATATATTCCCTATCATTTTCCTTTCTGAGAAATACCTGGTCCCTGTTTTATAAAAACTTAATAATCTCCAAAATCAGGGACATCAGGAAAATAATATCTCCAGGAGATGAAGCATGGAAAACTTGCTGGCAAACCATTAATCATCAGTCACACTTTAATAAAACACTGAAAACTTCCTAGCAAACTTTCATGCCATCAACCACACCTTATGTGAATGAATTAGGAAAAAACTTACTGGCAAACCTTCAGATCATAAACTGCGTTTGGATAAACCACGGAAACCTACATGGCAAACAGTTACATCAACACCACACTTTGGCAAACTAAAAACCCATTTGTACTTAATTCTTTGTTTGTATACCAAGTTTTCTATAAGGTGTATATTAGGACGGATGAAATGTTTGAGTTCTAATCAACGCAACAAAGTCCTGGACGTAGACGGTGACCTGTGACGCGATACAGACTTAGTAAAACTACTCAGTCTGCATCAGTGGTGGTAGAAATATCGCTTTGATCCAAAGAAAAAATATGTCAATGGTGAAGTTGTGCTGACCTGCTTGAGCTGCAGCCATACTAGCAGTGGACACAATAAATGATTCCCTCCCCATATTTTGTGTGACATTGTCAAAGTAGTGAGGTGTCGATAGACACATCAATTGCAATGGGATGGGTACAAAGAGGCATTGGCTTCTGGAATTCAACCTGTGGGATTTTGTGAGCCCAACAGTCCTTGCTTGCAGTAGGCGACAGCAACACATAGTCTGAGGATACTTCTACAGTTACCCAGAATTTTATAAACATTTAGAAGTTGGCGGTGTCGATCCGTGAGGCAAAATAATGATTGAAATGTTCTGCTTTTTTCTTGTCTTCAACGATTGTCTTACTCCGATCTGTCACTGGTTTTGTGTTCACCCTTCTACTTTCTCTGGAAAGTTTTTTTTTAAAGTCCATGCTTTATTTCCATTCTGTCTAAGGTCTAAGTTGGAGCAAGTTTCTGTCCATTTATCTCTTTTAGCCTCATTAACTACAAGCTTGACTCTGGAACACGATTTATTGTACTGGATATTTGCTTCTTGTGAACGAGCAGTTGCGAGTAATATTCTAGCTTTATTTCTTTTGGATATAGTATTTTGAACTTCTTTATTCCAGAAAGGTGTCTTCCGGCTGCCCCTTGGGATGGTTTCTAATGTGGCATTCAGGACTGCTTCTGTTAGTTATCAACTAAATGTTTCCAAATAACTGTTTTCAATTCTTCCCAGGAGGTAGATAGATGTTTCCTTAAACAATTTCCAATTTGCTTTTTTGAAAATTCTAATGTGCTTTCTGCTTGGAGCATGATTTAGCGGGGGTACTTACAGTTGTGAGTATTGGTCTGAAACCTAGCTTACTCACACAGGTAGTGCCCAAAGCCTAACTACCAATGTTTACCTAGAAACCAGTCTACCAAACCTACACTCTATAACCTCTGCCTGTGAGCTGAATTCCTTGAAACTTCTTTCCTTTCATGGCCGATGTTCAGAGCTGGTGTGCCAGCTCTTTGATCAGTGCAGGGTGTGCCAGCTCTTTGATCAGCGCAGGGTGTGCCAGCTCTTTGATCAGTGCAGGGTGTACCAGTGATCAGTGCAGGGTGTGCCAGCTCTTTGATCAGTGCAGGGTGTACCACACAACACACTTGCAAACATGAGACATTCACACAACACACTTGCAAACATGACACATTCACACAACACACTTGCAAACATGACACATTCACACACAACAAAGACTGTTTCAGAACCTGGAACTCTGTTCCACCACTGGGTAAAAGTTCCCCAGCCATTCTGGTCCATTTTATGAGGGGCGTGGGCCTGCCAGTGGCATAGCACTCCAAGCGAGCCGGGTCGTCTGCATTCTTAGACATGTCACTGCTGGTGTCAAGGTCAGAGATCTGGGGTTTTTCTGTGAAACGATGGAGCAGCCATTGGAGTTTACAGGACAAATGTTCAGTGAGACAATTGGCGTCACAGGAGAATTTAAGAGCATAATGAATAATATTGAGTTGGCCATGAAGAGGAGGAAATGATGGTGAGGGAGTAAGTAAAGAGAGAGAATAAACTGCAATGAAAAGAAAGAACAACAGATTCACTGTCTCTTAACGAGCATGCTGTACAAGGTGACTTGTTAAAGATTAATTAAAATTAGACGTCTTCGCCAGAAAGAGGCTTATATCACAGATATATTTAAAAGGAGGTCAAGGTGGAAGGGAAAGAAAAGGGGAAAAGAGACTAAACAATAAGAACAGAAGGACGACAAAGAAAACAAGAAGAGTATGGCAGACAGGAGTAAGAACAAGAGAAACAGAGAAAGGGAGATCATCAGTGTAAGGACTGCTGTAATGGAAAGAGAAATGTGCACAGAAAAATAGGTTATATTTATGGCTGCTCTATGTTGCAAAATAATAACTTGTGACTTGACAGCAAAGAAAAGATATTAACTGTTACTTTATAACAAAACATATATTTAAATGATACTTTATAACAGACACATCATAAATATTCTTTTATAACTCAACAACAAACATATAATATTAACTGTAAACTGACATCAAACCGGTCCCACTCAGACCGATATGGAACTTTACTACAGGTCAATCAGGGAGGTCCCTAGATCAGTCTCACTCAGACAGATATGGAACTTTGCTACAGGTCCATCAGGGACATCTCTAGACCGGTCTCACTCAGACATGAAACTTAGCTACAGGTCAATCTCTAGACCAGTCTCACTCAGACATGAAACTTAGCTACAGGTCAATCTCTAGACCAGTCTCACTCAAACAGATATGGAACTTAGCTACAGGTCCATCAGGGATGTCCCTAGACCAGTCTCACTCAGACAGACTTGAAACTTTGCTACAGGTCCAAAAGGAAATTCTTAAGATCAGTTTCACTCAGACAGATTTAAATCTTCATAAATCATGATCTTATCCTTAAAGTTGTGGTTTATAGCTAGGCTGTGATATCTGTGCCTTTCTGTTCAACACATCCAGTTTTAGCAAAACAATTAAAGGCCTTGTATGACATGCTTGTGGATCTGGATCAGTCCTGCTGAGGTTTCTGTATGCCAACCTCTTAGAACACCCAGTTTTTATATCACAGATAAATCAATAAGCAAGCAATAATGATATTCTGTCAAGCAGCTGGAGACAAGACTGATCACTTACGAACAACTCGCAGCTCACGCTGGTCAGGCACATAGTTCTGGTTGACAACCTGAACTTTACAAACATACAACCCTTCGTCTGTCACTTGCACATTCTGAATTCGCAGTCGCCAGGCGGTTGGGGATGGTTTGTCAAGTGCCCACCGATAGGCATCAAGGGAACGTGTTGCTGTGGATATCTGGATGGGCATGGAGTCCGCCTTCGTCTGATACATCCACATGACCTGTCAGAGAGAGGAAATGAAGGATTTTTTGACTTGAAAAGGACTTAAACATTTGCTGGAAATGTTTCCCTTTAATTTTTTTGTGCACAAACATAAAGAGTTTATTGTTTCTATGTATGCCAAATCCCGGCTTGCAACGAGGATCACCATTTTCTCCCATGAAGTTCAATGTTTACAGTGAGAATCACAGACTGTTGTATGGTGATGATAAGTTAGTGTATTGGCAGGGTAAAGACTAACAGAATTCAACTGCATAAGCAATTAGAGCGGTGAAGTTTGTACTCTGGTCAATCTAATGGCAGCAGTTACGCTGTTCTCTTTGGATAATCAAATTGTCAATACTCCAACCAACACCAACTGTCAGTCTATGCCCAGAGACTGGACAGAATGCAGGCAATGAAATACTTAGGGATATGTTTTGACAGAAGCCTTATTTACACTGATCACACAGACCAAGTAATAATAAATGCCAGGCAGGGCTTCCTTGCGATGAGAGCCATGGCTGCGATGTGAGCCATGGCTGTGATGTGAGCAATGGCTGCGATGTGAGCCATGGCTGCGATGTGAGCCATGGCTGATGGCTGCGATGTGAGCAATGGCTGTGATGTGAGCGATGGCTGCGATGTGAGCCATGGCTGCGATGTGAGCCATGGCTGCGATGTGAGCCATGGCTGCGATGTGAGCCATGGCTGCGATGTGAGCCATGGCTGATGGCTGCGATGTGAGCAATGGCTGTGATGTGAGCAATGGCTGTGATGTGAGCAATGGCTGTGATGTGAGCCATGGCTGCGATGTGAGCCATGGCTGCGATGTGAGCAATGGCTGTGATGTGAGCAATGGCTGTGATGTGAGCAATGGCTGTGATGTGAGCAATGGCTGTGATGTGAGCAATGGCTGTGATGTGAGCAATGGCTGTGATGTGAGCAATGGCTGTGATGTGAGCAATGGCTGTGATGTGAGCAATGGCTGTGATGTGAGCAATGGCTGTGATGTGAGTGATGGCTGTGATGTGAGTGATGGCTGTGATGTGAGCAATGGCTGTGATGTGATGGCTGTGATGTGAGTGATGAGTGATGTGAGTGATGGCTGTGATGTGAGCAATGGCTGTGATGTGAGTGAATGGCTGTGATGTGAGTGATGGCTGTGATGTGTGATGTGAGCAATGGCTGTGATGTGAGTGATGGCTGTGAGTGATGGCTGTGATGTGAGCAATGGCTGTGATGTGAGCATGGCTGTGATGTGTGAGTGCAATGGCTGTGATGTGAGTGATGGCTGTGATGTGAGCAATGGCTGTGATGTGAGTGATGGCTGTGATGTGAGTGAGATGGCTGTGATGTGAGTGATGGCTGTGATGTGAGTGATGGCTGTGATGTGGCTGTGATGTGAGTGATGATGATGTGAGTGATGGCTGTGATGTGAGTGATGCTGTGATGTGAGTGATGGCTGTGATGTGAGCAATGGCTGATGTGAGTGATGGCTGTGATGTGAGTGATGGCTGTGATGTGAGTGATGGCTGTGATGTGCTGTGATGTGAGTGATGGCTGTGATGTGAGCGATGGCTGTGATGTGAGCAATGGCTGTGATGTGAGTGATGGGTGATGTGAGTGATGGCTGTGATGTGAGTGATGGCTGTGATGTGAGTGATGGCTGTGATGTGAGTGATGGCTGTGATGTGAGTGATGGCTGTGATGTGAGTGATGGCTGTGATGTGAGCAATGGCTGTGATGTGAGTGATGGCTGTGATGTGAGTGATGGCTGTGATGTGAGTGATGGCTGTGATGTGAGCAATGGCTGTGATGTGAGTGATGGCTGTGATGTGAGTGATGGCTGTGATGTGAGTGATGGCTGTGATGTGAGTGATGGCTGTGATGTGAGTGATGGCTGTGATGTGAGTGATGGCTGTGATGTGAGTGATGGCTGTGATGTGAGTGATGGCTGTGATGTGAGCAATGGCTGTGATGTGAGTGATGGCTGTGATGTGAGTGATGGCTGTGATGTGAGTGATGGCTGTGATGTGAGTGATGGCTGTGATGTGAGTGATGGATGTGATGTGATGGCTGTGATGTGAGTGAGTGATGGCTGTGATGTGAGTGATGGCTGTGATGTGAGTGATGGCTGTGATGTGCAATGGCTGTGATGTGATGGCTGTGATGTGAGTGATGGCTGTGATGTGAGTGATGGCTGTGATGTGAGTGATGGCTGTGATGTGAGTGATGGCTGTGATGTGGCGATGTGATGTGTGAGTGATGAGGCTGTGATGTGAGTGATGGCTGTGATGTGAGTGATGTGAGTGATGGCTGTGATGTGAGTGATGGCTGTGATGTGAGCTGTGATGTGAGTGATGGCTGTGATGGCTGTGGATGTGATGTGTGATGGCTGTGATGTGAGTGATGGCTGTGATGTGAGTGATGGCTGTGATGTGAGTGATGGCTGTGATGTGAGTGATGGCTGTGATGTGAGTGATGGCTGTGATGTGAGTGATGGCTGTGATGTGAGAAATGGCTGTGATGTGAGTGATGGCTGTGATGTGAGTGATGGCTGTGATGTGAGTGATGGCTGTGAGTGAGTGATGGCTGTGATGTGAGTGATGGCTGTGATGTGAGTAATGGCTGTGATGTGAGCCATGGCTGATGGCTGCGATGTGAGCAATGGCTGTGATGTGAGCAATGGCTGTGATGTGAGTGATGGCTGTGATGTGAGCAATGGCTGTGATGTGAGTGATGGCTGTGATGTGAGTGATGGCTGTGATGTGAGCAATGGCTGTGATGTGAGCAATGGCTGTGATGTGGCTGTGATGTGTGCTGTGATGTGAGTGATGGCTGTGATGTGAGCAATGGCTGTGATGTGAGTGATGGCTGTGATGATGTGATGTGAGTGATGGCTGTGATGTGAGCAATGGCTGTGATGTGAGTGATGGCTGTGATGTGAGTGATGGCTGTGATGTGAGTGATGGCTGTGATGTGAGTGATGGCTGTGATGTGAGCAATGGCTGTGATGTGAGTGATGGCTGTGATGTGAGTGATGGCTGTGATGTGAGTGATGGCTGTGATGTGAGTGATGGCTGTGATGTGAGTGAGTGATGGCTGTGATGTGAGTGATGGCTGTGATGTGAGCAATGGCTGTGATGTGTGAGCTGTGATGGCTGTGATGTGAGCAATGGCTGTGATGAGTGATGGCTGTGATGTGAGTGATGGCTGTGATGGTGAGCAATGGCTGTGATGATGGAGTGATGAGCTGCTGTGATGTGAGTGATGGCTGTGATGTGAGCAATGGCTGTGATGTGAGTGATGGCTGTGATGTGAGTGATGGCTGTGATGTGAGCAATGGCTGTGATGTGAGCAATGGCTGTGATGTGAGTGATGGCTGTGATGTGAGTGATGGCTGTGATGTGAGTGATGGCTGTGATGTGAGCAATGGCTGTGATGTGAGTGATGGCTGTGATGTGTGATGTGAGTGATGGCTGTGATGTGAGTGATGGCTGTGATGTGAGTGATGGCTGTGATGTGAGTGATGGCTGTGATGTGAGTGATGGCTGTGATGTGAGTGATGGCTGTGATGTGAGTGATGGCTGTGATGTGAGTGATGGCTGTGATGTGATGTGAGATGGCTGTGATGGCTGTGATGTGAGTGATGGCTGTGATGTGAGTGATGGCTGTGATGTGAGTGATGGCTGTGATGTGAGCAATGGCTGTGATGTGAGTGATGGCTGTGATGTGAGTGATGGCTGTGATGTGAGTGATGGCTGTGATGTGAGTGATGGCTGTGATGTGAGCAATGGATGGCTGTGATGTGAGTGAGTGATGGCTGTGATGTGAGTGATGGCTGTGATGTGAGTGATGGCTGTGATGTGAGCAATGGCTGTGATGTGAGTGATGGCTGTGATGTGAGCTGTGATGGCTGTGATGTGAGTGATGGCTGTGATGTGAGCATGGCTGTGATGGCAATGTGCTGTGATGTGAGTGAATGGCTGTGCTGTGAGTGTGTGAGCAATGGCTGTGATGTGGAGTGATGGCTGTGATGTGAGCAATGGCTGTGATGTGAGTGATGGCTGTGATGTGAGTGATGGCTGTGATGTGAGTGATGGCTGTGATGTGTGATGGCTGTGATGGCTGTGATGTGATGGCTGTGATGGTGATGGTGATGTGAGTGATGGCTGTGATGTGAGTGATGGCTGTGATGTGAGCAATGGCTGTGATGTGAGTGATGGCTGTGATGTGAGTGATGGCTGTGATGTGAGTGATGGCTGTGATGTGAGCAATGGCTGTGATGTGAGCAATGGCTGTGATGTGAGCAATGGCTGTGATGTGAGCCATTGATGTGATGTGAGTGATGGCTGTGATGTGAGCAATGTGATGATGTGATGTGAATGGCTGTGATGTGAGCAATGGCTGTGATGTGAGCAATGGCTGTGATGTGAGCAATGGCTGTGATGTGAGCAATGGCTGTGATGTGAGCAATGGCTGTGATGTGAGCAATGGCTGTGATGTGAGCAATGGCTGTGATGTGAGCAATGGCTGTGATGTGAGCAATGGCTGTGATGTGAGCAATGGCTGTGATGTGAGCAATGGCTGTGATGTGAGCAATGGCTGTGATGTGAGCAATGGCTGTGATGTGAGCAATGGCTGTGATGTGAGCAATGGCTGTGATGTGAGCAATGGCTGTGATGTGAGCAATGGCTGTGATGTGAGCAATGGCTGTGATGTGAGATGGCTGTGATGTGAGATGGCTGTGATGTGAGTGATGGCTGTGATGTGAGCAATGGCTGTGATGTGAGTGATGGCTGTGATGTGAGCAATGGCTGTGATGTGAGCAATGGCTGTGATGTGAGCAATGGCTGTGATGTGAGCAATGGCTGTGATGTGAGTGATGGCTGTGATGTGAGTGATGGCTGTGATGTGAGTGATGGCTGTGATGTGAGTGATGGCTGTGATGTGAGTGATGGCTGTGATGTGAGTGATGGCTGTGATGTGAGTGATGGCTGTGATGTGAGTGATGGCTGTGATGTGAGTGATGGCTGTGATGTGAGTGATGGCTGTGATGTGAGTGATGGCTGTGATGTGAGCCATGGCTGATGGCTGCGATGTGAGCGATGGCTGTGATGTGAGTGATGGCTGTGATGTGAGTGATGGCTGTGATGTGAGTGATGGCTGTGATGTGAGCAATGGCTGTGATGGCTGATGGCTGTGATGTGAGTGATGGCTGTGATGTGAGCGATGGCTGTGATGTGAGTGATGGCTGTGATGTGAGTGATGGCTGTGATGTGAGCGATGGCTGCGATGTGAGCAATGGCTGTGATGTGAGCAATGGCTGTGATGTGAGCAATGGCTGTGATGTGAGCAATGGCTGTGATGTGAGTGATGGCTGTGATGTGAGCAATGGCTGTGATGTGAGCAATGGCTGTGATGTGAGTGATGGCTGTGATGTGAGCAATGGCTGTGATGTGAGCAATGGCTGTGATGTGAGCAATGGCTGTGATGTGAGCAATGGCTGTGATGTGAGTGATGGCTGTGATGTGAGCGATGGCTGCGATGTGAGCCATGGCTGCAGCAAACTGTGAGCAGCATCACTTATGTCTTTTATATACGGGCTGGTCCTTTGTTTCTGAGTACGTGATGCCGATCCTGACTCTCAGCCATTAGCAGGTGGAGAGGATGAACAGGGTCTAGAACGAGGCTATGCATATTATACTTGAGTGTACAAGAGATACAAAATGTAGGCTGATGCACTTCCTTCTCGATTTTCCAACTACAGAGGACCAATTTGCTGGGTACGCGCCTAACTCAGAGTCAAAACAACACCCGCTGCACAGTGAAATTAAAGAAGAAAAAGGGCAGCAGGTTTTTTATTAAAGGGGGTGAGGGGGAGTCATGGATGTGCCATGCAGAGGACATTCTCCAGATGGGCTCTCTTGAGGACATAGAACCTGGTGAGAAATAGGTACAAGTGCCAACAGAGAACTATAAGAACTTTCCTGTTCGCATCTGACTAGACAGAAATGTAGACAATAAAGTCCAGCTGCTGTGGAGACAAAAGTGCAGGCCTAGATTTTAAATAATTCTCTAGTGGGGTGTGCTATCATTTACATATATGGGTCTGTGGCTGGTGACGAGAGAAGCTCTTTGGCTTTTACAGCTCAGGTTAAACTGTGAAGCAGGATTGTGATGCTTTCATCTTGTCTACAAGTAGTCTAGTCTATTCAGGTCATGGCAATGACCTTTTCCCATGCAGTCCTTCTCAGTGACTCAATGAGTTTGCTCGGGAAGATAGAGGAGAGGGGCTGGGTCTGAAGTCATTGGCTGGAGTCTCTGAGGCAGACAGGGCTGACAAATATCAGTTTCATACTTACGTCAGGGCACACAGGCATGCAGTGAAATGAGCAAGCTGATCAGCTTGCAGGTAAAGCTACTGTAAAGTGTGAATCCGTCATGGACCAGGCTGATATAATGAATGCTCTGCAAGAAGTTCAACATTCACGAGAACCAAGTTGATGAATGTAAATCTGCAGCTATGGCCAGACTAAAAGAACAGCATGTTTAAAGGGGTGTGGCCAGACAAAAGCACTTCGCAGGAGGCCAAAGAAGAATAAGAAACCAATACAGGACTAATGTTTTCAGCCGCCAAACACTTTGGGATTTACTGAGGGCGAATCTGAGCACAAATGGACTGAATGATTCGATGAGCAGCGAGGATAATCTGTTGACTTAGTTACTATTTTGATTAATATCCAACAATCAAAGGCAGAGAGGCTAGTTCTGACTAACAAGACAAATTATTTAAAATATACAAATCTCCAGCTGACTCACAAAAAGTAACAGACTAAATTACCACAGAAGTAACAATCTAAAAAGACAAACAAACAAAACAATAAACACATCAATTATTAGCACCCCTACATTAAGTGGCCTGTTCCAAACGTACATTACTGGTCCTTTTCTCAAGGTGATGATGTCACTAATTTCAGGTCACAGCCGCAGCAATTAAACATTGACCCCAGCCGGCCTCAAATCCAGCACTTCGTGTTGGTGCCTTTCCCTGTAAGAGCCATGTTCCCAGCTCACTTTAGTGGCTTGTTTATGGGAAGCATAGATAAAAATCAAATCTGTTTACACCTGCACAAAAGTTTAGCAGGCCATTACATTTACTGCAAATAATATTCAGAGGGGTTTCTTTGTAAAAAAAAAAAAAAAGCTTTATTTATAGACATTCTGATGTCATATTTTCTTGTTAGTCTAGGATGACAGGGTGATCAGGCCACAGAGACAAGTAACTGTCTCCCTATAAATGCTATCTAAGGCTCAAAGGGGCATCAGCAAATTAATTCTATGCTGCATTTGTTTTAATAAATATTTCCCATTATTTGTTTGGGTTTGTTTTCAGTATTTTTTTGCCCCTCAATTTTCCAGATGGTGTGTAACATGGTTAGTTTTTTTTTTTTAAGACAACTTTTTTATTTTTGAAATTCCTGATTAAAATGAGTTTCAGGATCTTGGCAATGTTTCTTTTGCTGAGCGTAATTTTTACAAATTCCTGGGATCGACTCAAGAGCTGCAGAGCTTGTGCTTTATGTGACACTTCGGAAAAGGCTAGCCATACTGTGGAGACTGAGTTATATTTATAACGCAATGAAGTCGATTCACCCAAATTAAACTTTAACTTTCATTAAACTGCAAGAGCACACAGACAGTCACAAAGAAACACTGTGACAATATGAACAGAACATCTGTACAAGCAAACATTGACAACAAGCAAACACTGACAACAAGCAAACACTGACAACAAGCAAACACTGACAACAAGCAAACACTGACAACAAGCAAACACTGACAACAAACAACTATTGAGGAGTGACAAGGAAGGGACCTTACATTGACATCCAGCGGCTTGTTCTCCACCACACAGGTCAGCTGTACGTCTTTGTCCTTCTCCTGGATGATGAAGCCAGAGACTGGGTCCGGCGGAGGGTCAGTGGCAATGATCCTCACTTTTGGGTCATCAGTAAACACTGAAACACACATAGACGTCTCAGATATGACTACTCATCGTCTCAGATATGACTACTCATCCTCTCAGAAATGACTACTCATCCTCTCAGATATCACTACTCATCCTCTCAGATATGACTACTCATCCTCTCAGATATGACTACTCATCCTCTCAGATATGACTACTTATCCTCTCAGATATGACTACTCATCCTCTCAGAAATGACTACTCATCCTCTCAGATATCACTACTCATCCTCTCAGATATGACTACTCATCCTCTCAGATATGACTACTCATCCTCTCAGATATGACTACTTATCCTCTCAGATATCACTACTCATCCTCTCAGATTTGACTACTCATCCTCTCAGATATGACTACTCGTCCTCTCAGATATGACTACTCATCCTCTCAGATATGACTACTTATCCTCTCAGATATGACTACTCATCCTCTCAGATATCACTACTCATCCTCTCAGATATAACTACTCATCCTCTCAGATATAACTACTCATCCTCTCAGATATCACTACTCATCCTCTCAGATATCACTACTCAAAAGAAATTGTAAAAGAATTACTTGCTTAACGAGTGACATTTTACATAACGAGTGGCGAGGAGAGGTCCAGGATTGTGCACATGTTACATCAGTCTGTGTTTAGCCCTCGTTCCAGTAGCATCGTAGTGTCGCTTGTGATCACACCATTTCTGAAACTTGTGTTATATTGTGATATATGTTGATGAATCCTCCAGGCCTACAAGATGACCTCTCTGAGGAATTTAAGTTCATCAAGATCCAGTTTCTGCCTCCCAAAATCACTGACGCCATTACTCCAGTCCACGGACCAGCAAGTTATTTCTAACTTTTAAGAAACTCTACACTAAAGCACTCTTCGAGCATTGTTTTTAGGTGACTGAGGGGACCAACCTGACTCTCAAAGAGTTTTGGAAATATCACCTCCACATCGTTGCCTGCATCAAGATGATCGACAAGGAGGGGGAAGGGGTTATCAAGAGAACCGTAACTTCTTCTTGTTAGAAGTTTTTTCGAGATAGCGTTGTCGATTTGTGACTTTGAGGGGTTCGAGAAGGTACCTGTGGAACCTGTAGTCAACGAGATTGTGTCTTTGGCCACTATCATTGGACAGTAGGTGGATAACAGTGATATCGAAGAGCTTGTGGAAGAGCACAGCCAAGAGCTGACCACCAAAGAGCTTATGGGGCTGCATTGTGTTTCACAGCAAGAAATTTTGGAGGAAAGTTTGTCAGAGGAGGAAGAGGAGGTAACAGAAAAGCAACAATCTTCTGGCAAATTAAAGAAATGCTGAAAGCATGGCAAACTATTGCATCTTACATTAAGAAGCATCGCCCTAATAAGGAAGTGGCTATGCCCGATGCTAATGATAATGCTGTGTCGCATTTTCTCCAAATTTCGAAGCGTCGGCAAAAACAAATGTCTCTGGACATCTGTCTAGTTTAAAAAAACAATAATTAGCTATTTATCATAATTCTTTCGACTTTTTTTTTTCCCGCAAATCGAATTCGCATTCCAGGTGGGTTTGTTCCTTGTTTGAAGAGGAAAAATTATATGAGGAAAATTGTTTTGCATAACGAGTGTTTTGCTTAACACGTATCAAGTATGGTTCTGGAACGAATTATGCTCATTAAGCAAGGTTCCGCTGTATTATAAGTAAAGAGATCATTTTTTTCAGTGAGTTCTAGTAAACAATTCCTCTTATTACATTTATTTAGGAAGATAGCTATAAAATTACAGGCAATTCAATGTTATATAAACTTTTGTGTGAAGATACGAATTGTTTTGGGAAGTCAGCTTTCTTTACAAAGTAATGGTGCTCCGTTATGATGCTTCAAAAGATTTTCTGGAACAAAACTTGAGTTTACATTTTACTTATACATTACTAATTGGTGCACATTATTTTCATCTGTGATTAATTTGGGATGTTTTAAATGAGTTTACCTTGAGTGCTACAGTGGTATGTGGAACAATTATTTGATTTTACAATTTTACTAATTTATGCAAATATACTGTCTATTTACTAAAATTTAACAACTAAGGCAATTATTTGTTTATAGTTGTAGCAGTATTGCATCATTTGGTTATACTCCGAATAACGGTCCTAAATTATCGAGGTCGAAAATATACCCTAACAGGGCTCAGTCACATGAAAATTATGGACCTCTTTCCGGCGAATGTACCGCCACCGCCTACAGAATCTCCCGCGCCGCTGCTGCGCGGAGTGGAGCTAAACTAGATGGTTGGGACTCACAAGCAAATAAAATGAAGGAAGCTGCAGGAGATGCAATAGCTGCTGCTCGTGAGTCCCAGCCATCAAGTTTAGACCCGCTCCGCGGGAGATACTCTCAGCTGTGACTTAAACTCTGCTGAAACTTTTCCGCGGCGGTATGCTGTGTAGTCACCAGAAAGAGGTCCACAATTGACATGTGACTGAGGTGTTAGTGTTAGGGTATTTTTTCGGCCTTGATAATTTGTGACCGTTATTCGGAGGATAGCCCATGTTAAAATTTAAAAATGTGTCCCACATTAAGATTAGAACTGCAACAGTACAGTGCCACAATCAGTTTGCTGCTGCTTCATGTTGCTCACGGGCCTGCGTGTCCAATTTGTAACCCTTTGAAAATAAAGTTTGTTCGTCGTTCGTTCGTTCACTGTCTGTTCCTTGGCTTTGACTTTGAGGCTTTCGTACTTTGTTTTCTTTATTTTAGAACAAACACAACGCGGAAGTGACTGTCGATCATAATAAATTACAGACAGAAAATTTTGACTCTGTGCTGACTCACGCTATCTGTCTTACCTGCAACAAATTGCAATAAAAATACGCCTCCGATGATGCCGAGGGAGGTCATGGTGTAATCTAGAGAAACAAACTTGAAACAAATCACAAATCTCAGCTCGGCAACTTTCCTCTGTCCTGTTGTCTTCGACTTGACTTCCGGAGCTCGGCGCATGCGCAGCGCTGGCATTGTTGGAGGAGCTGTCGCCGATTGGTTTCGTAAATGTTGCTCTCGAAATTTAACATAAGCGCTACGTCCCCCATCTTTAGCATCTTTTTGCCCCTACCTGCACGTTGGAGGTATATAGGCTGACCGTCGTTTCATTTGAACGAAGTTTTTTCGCCAGGGACACTAGATTAGTATCGTTAATTTTATACATTAGAGTCCTATGTAGTCACTTCATAGTTAGAGCCTATTTGTGTATGTGTACTGTGTTGTCCTTTATGTGCTGATGAAGGCTAATCGACGCAACGTCCTTTGTTTGTTTATTGTGATCGATTTTGTAAAGCTAACATAAACTGATTGTTGTTTCTTACCAACTTTTTCTCTTCCCTATAATTTTCTACTCCTTATAAAAACCCATCTTTAGCAGCGGGAGCATGTTAAGAATTTAAATGGCCCCAACAGTCTCAGATCTTTATTTAGTACTACCACAAATGACGTCACAGGACAGTCCAATATTTTAGAGGGTGGTAAGACCAGGTTTTCTGCGTTTCTTCCAGGGCCAAAGTTTTCTTCAGGCGTCTGAGTCTTGAGTGTGTATTTCCAGTGGCGTGTGTTCAGTCTTCTTCGTGAATTTCCTTGAATTAGCAGCATCGGCACATGACAAAAAGAGCGGCGTTACTTTTCTGCAACATCATGGCATTCTGTATCACAAGAACACTAGTCTGTCGTCTCCACTGCTGCGGCACCGTTTACCGCATTCCAACATCTCTCTTCTAACGTGTAAAACTGTTCTGACTGTGAGCGCTTTTAACGACCCCATGTAGAACTGGCCCCAACGCCAACCCACCTACTCCCACTAGAGAGTACAGCTTGGGTCCCACGACAATATGCAGTTTAGGTCTCACGATTGCATGCACGACTGTATGCAGCCTAGATCCCACGACTGTATGCAGCCTAGATCCCACGACTGTATGCAGCCTAGATCCCGCGACTGTATGCAGCCTAGGTCCACGACTGTATGCAGCCTAGGTCCCACGACTGTATGCAGCCTAGATCCCACGACTGTATGCAGCCTAGTTCCCACGACTGTATGCAGCCTAGATCCCACGACCGTATGCAGCCTAGATCCCACGACCGTATGCAGCCTAGATCCCACGACGGTATGCAGCCTAGATCCCACGACCGTATGCAGCCAAGGTCCCACGACTGTATGCAGCCTAGATCCCGCGACTGTATGCAGCCTAGATCCCGCGACTGTATGCAGCCTAGGTCCCGCGACTGTATGCAGCCTAGGTCCCGCGACCGTATGCAGCCTAGATCCCACGACCGTATGCAGCCTAGATCCCATGACTGTATGCAGCCTAGATCCCACGACTGTATGCAACCTAGATCCCACGACTGTATGCAGCCTAGATCCCACGACTGTATGCAACCTAGATCCCACGACTGTATGCAGCCTAGATCCCACGACTGTATGCAGCCTAGATCACACGACTGTATGCAGCCTAGATCCCACGACTGTATGCAACCTAGATCCCACGACTGTATGCAGCCTAGATCCCACGACTGTATGCAGCCTAGATCCCACGACTGTATGCAGCCTAGATCCCACGACTGTATGCAGCCTAGGTCCCACGACTGTATGCAGCCTAGATCCCACGACTGTATGCAGCCTAGATCCCACGACTGTATGCAGCCTAGATCCCACGACTGTATGCAGCCTAGATCCCACGACTGTATGCAGCCTAGATCCCACGACTGTATGCAGCCTAGATCCCACGACTGTATGCAGCCTAGATCCCACGACTGTATGCAGCCTAGATCCCGCGACTGTATGCAGCCTAGATGCAACCTTTCACTAAGCATACATATCTTTAAAGGTATTTGCTTATACACACACAAACACACACACACATGCAAAGACTGATATTCAACCAGTTCAACTTCTTTCGAGTTGTATTAGACAGAAACGGAGGCATTAAGACTGAGCTAGCTACACGAAAAGCAGCTGCTGGGAGACTCTTCCCGGTCATAAACCGAGGGTTTCTTAGCAAAAGAGAAAATGTCTGTTTACAGCTCTACCTACGTATCAGTCCTGACCTATGAGTGTGAGTCATGGGCTATGACAACAGCTGACAGTAGCCAGCTTCACGCCTTAGATGAGATGTCTGAGAGAGGTGGTCCAAGTGACAAGAAGGAACAAAGTCCGCAATCAGACAATACAGCAAGATCTTGATACACAGTCCTTACAAACCCGAGTGGATCAGTCCCAGTTACGATGGTATGGGCGTGTATGCAAAATTGGACAAAATCGGCCACCATGGGAGGCTAAGAACCAGGGAACCAGACCTCTAGGGCGACCCAGGGTCCGCTGGGAAGACAACATCCGACAGTCCCTAACTGACAGAGGACTAGAATAGAACAAAGCCAGAAAGAAAACTGCCGATAGAGACGTTTGGCGATCTCTCTGGTAAATATCTAAACCCCAAGGTAGAAGAGGAGAGACTAAGTAAGTAAGTATTATTATTAAATAATTTATTTTATTTTGAAAATGGGGAGGGGGCGTTCAAGGAAGCTGAACCCCAGGTTTCGGTGGGCTATGCTCAACTGGCGTGTAACCTAGAGTCCAAGCGAGGCAGGCAGTAGATTATCAGGCTACAAGGGAATTTAAGTCAACGGTGACATACTTTTCGTGGTATAACCATATAGTAAACCCACCAACACCAACTGTCAATCTGTCTTCAACACCAACTGTCAATCTGTCTTCAACACCAACTGTCAATCTGTCTTTAACACCAACTGTCAATCTGTCTTCAACACCAACTGTCAATCTGTCTTCAACACCAACTGTCAATCTGTCTTCAACACCAGCTGTCAATCTGTCTTCAACACCAACTGTCAATCTGTCTTCAACACCAACTGTCAATCTGTCTTCAACACCAGCTGTCAATCTGTCTTCAACACCAGCTGTCAATCTGTCTTCAACACCAACTGTCAATCTGTCTTCAACATCAACTGTCAATCTGTCTTCAACACCAACTGTCAAACTGTCTTCAACACCAACTGTCAATCTGTCTTCAACACCAACTATAAATCTGTCTTCAACACCAACTGTCAATCTGTCTTCAACACTAACTATAAATCTGTCTTCAACACCAACTGTCAATCTGTCTTCAACACCAACTATAAATCTGTCTTCAACACCAACTGTCAATCTGTCTTCAACACCAACTGTCAATCTGTCTTCAACACCAACTATCAATCTGTCTTCAACACCAACTATAAATCTGTCTTCAACACCAACTGTCAATCTGTCTTCAACACCAACTGTCAATCTGTCTTCAACACCAACTGTCAATCTGTCTTCAACACCAACTGTCAATCTGTCTTCAAAGATCATGGAGAGATCTCTTTTAATTAAGCATTTAGAAGTGTATTTTGATAATAGTCTTGCTTTTTTAGGAGCATGTCAAGCACGTGATAATGAAGGCATGAGGAGGTTTGACGCCGCTAAGGATTATGGCCGCCATAAATTGCGAGCAAGCTCACCTATTTTTTTTTCTCCCGGGGTCTGAGTCTTTCTGTAATTGAGTAGGATCTGACGATTCTGACAGCCGTACACAGATAGAGAGACTAGATCGGACACAGAAGGAGGTCATGCGCCTCATACTTGGATGCACACAAAAATACAGCACGCATGGTCATGCGTTAGCTAGCTCCTTGATTCTCCAACCATGGAAGGGAGAAGAGTGATCTACCCAGAACGTGCCTGTCTACGTATCAGAGCTGATACACATCATCCATTGCACAGTGAGATTCGCAAGAGGAAGGGTAGCAGGTTAAAAATAAGAAATCTTGGGTGGGTCAGGCTGAGGATATTTTCCAAGTTTTGTTTTCTATCTCAGAACCGGGTGAGGAATGGGTACAAGTGTTAGCAGACTGGTGTTCATCCTTTTCAGTCTGCATAAAACTGCATAGACACTGCAGATGACAAAGCCCGTCGGTGATGAGCCAGAAGTTCAAGCCGTAATTCTGGAAAATTCTGCTGATGGATGTGCAAACTGTCGTTCACTGTTCTGGTTCAAGGGAAAACAGAAAGAAAAGAAAGCAAGGCGGTTTACTAGCCTACAAGTAGTTTGACCATAGGTGTGATGGCGGTTATAAAAGCAAAGCTGTGGCAAGAGACAGCAGTTTTCCCATGCCTACTTGCTATGTGATTCTGTGAGCATGCTTAAGAAGATAGAGACAGGAGGAATTCGAAGAGAATGGCTGGAGTCTGACATGAATTAGGAGTAGTTTCATTTTTGTGCCAGGTCACTCTGCGATAAGAGGGAATAAACGAGCGGATTGGCCTGTTGGCAGGGCCACCGTAGGTACAGGAATAACAATGGACCGGGCAGACAGTGTCAATGCTTTCAAGGTGTCCGGGCGAGAGGATGATTCAAAAGATGACGTCGAATCTGCAACATTCAAAAGACTACAAGAACTTCATGTCAAAAGAAGTGTCGCCAAACATGAACACTTTACAGATAGCCAAAAAAGAACAGTAAACTAACTCTCAGCTGGTGTTATCAGTCGCCACACGCTGGGTGAAATACTGAAGATGGGAATTCCTTGTAATGATGAGTGGGCGTTCATCTTTGAGTGTGTTTGTAATGATGAGTGGGCGTTCATCTTTGAGTGTGTTTGTAATGATGAGTGGGAGTTCATCTTTGAGTGTTTGTAATGATGAGTGGGCGTTCATCTTTGAGCGAGCGTGTCCGAGAGAGTGATTTGAAGGGAATATATTAATTGATATCCTTTCAGGCCATAATTAAAACCTAATGCACTGAACGCTAAGAAGCTTAATAAGAGAAAGACACATACAGAAACAATTTAATATTTTGGTGGGAGCCTTTATCAACAAACGCCACAGCAAAAAAGCAGAATCCAGGACAAGCTTAATCTGAGTCATAGTTCAGTGAATTAATTGTTTTTCATATGACTGCAGTCATCCCAGTTTTCAGCAGGTGAGTATAAAATATGCCTTTAGTATGTCTCATCTGGGCAATGCTGCAATTTTTTTGGGGGGGAGTATATTTAGAAAAAAAAAGATTTAAAATGATAAATCAGAAAATAATTAAAAAAAAGAAGAAAATATTGGCTTAGTTTTTAACATTATCTGAGTGTATGCTGGTAATCTATCACTTGTATTTGTCTGTTTCCAGTTTTTGGTCAGAATCCAGAGATTGTTGATGAAATCTGGCCAGAGGTGCAGCCAGTGGGACGAACTGGTCGTCTTAATTGTACAGTGGCCAGGCTCAATACCAACACTGTGAGTTAAATTTTGTCAGTGACAGTCAGCAAGTACAAATACACTTGGTTATCACAGTTGGTGTCTCCGCATTCATCTCTTGTTACTACTTGTTTTTACCACTTTCTTTAGGGCGGTGCATCACGGAAAGTCTGAAGATTTAGGGCCACTTGGTTACTGCAGTCGCATGCAGGACAGGATGTTTGGTTTTATTCCCGAACCCCCCTCCCCCCAAAAAAATATGTCGCTACATTTTCAAGGGATTCAAGCCCAGATCTTCCACAGTAGAGGCCAACAGTTGTGGTCATCCTAAATACCTGTGCAAATGATACCAGGGCTTTTAGTTAGACATCTTGAGAACAAGTGACTATACCGAGCTAAGAATGCGACATTTTTCAGGGGATTGGACCCAGCAAAAGTGTTGGTTTTTGAAAGAACAATGAGAAGTTTTATTTCACATTTCTCCAAATGGTCACCATCCAGATAAGGTCATGCGTTTTATTGTTCACAAAACAATAAATAAAGACTAACACACATCCGTATTTAGAACAGAAAAGTTCAACTTTGCAAACGAGTGAAAGCCAAACATTGCTACGGTAGATATGGTAGACACTGCTTTACCCTGACGTTCTGGTCATTAGATCTTAGCCTGTTAGATGTGAGTTATCCACTTTTGTACAGTGTGTAGATCTGGGAAGTGTTGGCGCGTGAACAAGTTGGTGTGACTTTGTTGTAGTATTGTAGCTTGCACATTTCTTCAACAGACTTTATGATAATAGCTAAACCTTCCTTTATTAGCCAAAATAATGTCTGCCCAGAATGTCCCACAGACTAATGTCTACCCAGGATGCCCCATGAACTGGTGACTGCCCAGAATGTCCCACAGACTAGTGTCTACCCAGGATGCCCCATGAACTGGTGTCTGCTCTATGTCCCACATACTAGTGTCTAGCAGGATGCCCCATGAAATGGTGCCTTAGTATGTCCCACATACTAGTGTCTACCCAGGATGCCCCATGAACTGGTGTCTGCCCAGAATGTCCCACATACTAGTGTCTACCCAGGATGCCCCATGAACTGGTGCCTGCCCAGAATGTCCCACATACTAGTGTCTACCCAGGATGCCCCATGAACTGGTGCCTGCCCAGAATGTCCCATATACTAGTGTCTACCCAGGATGCCCCATGAACTGGTGTCTGCCCAGAATGTCCCACATACTAGTGTCTACCCAGGATGCCCCATGAACTGGTGCCTGCTCAGAATGTCCCACATACTAGTGTCTACCCAGGATGCCATATGAACTGGTGCCTGCCCAGAATGTCCAACAGACTAGTGTCTACCCAGGATGCCCTATGAACTGGTGCCTGCCCAGAATGTCCCACATACTAGTATGTGTCCAGGATGTCCTGCAGACTAATGTGTGCCCAGGATGCCCCACAGACTGATGTCTGCCCAGGATGCCCCACAGACTGATGTGTGCCCAGGATGCCCCACAGACTGATGTGTGCCCAGGATGCCCCACAGACTAGTGTGTGCCAAGGATGCCCCACAGACTGATGTGTGCCCAGGATGCCCCACAGACTGATGTGTGCCCAGGATGCCCCACAGACTAATGTGTGCCCAGGATGCCCCACAGACTGATGTCTGCCTGAAATGATCGAAGTACAGATGAACATTCTTAGACAGTATAAACTCCTGACTAGCACATCAGCATGTCCGCATCTCACTTCGGGAAATAACAGCCAGTCAGGGAATCATCCTAAGGCCTGCCATGAAGGGAATCATCCTAAGGCCTGCCATGAAGGGCTGCCTCTGAGACAGTTTATGGAAGTATAGGCTTGAGGCACCTCATGGGGAATTGTGTCTGAGGCATCCAGCAATGTGCTGCAGAACCTTTTCTAATTGTACAGACAGGTGCCAGATTGTCTCTCTTTGGTATTATATCATTGTACAGACAGGTGCCAGATTGTCTCTCTTTGGTATTATATCATTGTACAGACGGGTGCCAGATTGTCTCTCTATGGTATTATATCATTGTACAGACAGGTGCCAGATTGTCTCTCTGTGGTATTATATCATTGTACAGACAGGTGCCAGATTGTCTCTCTATGGTATTATATCATTGTACAGACGGGTGCCAGATTGTCTCTCTGTGGTATTATATCATTGTACAGACGGGTGCCAGATTGTCTCTCTGTAGTATTATATCATTGTACAGCCGGGTGCCAGATTGTCTCTCTGTGGTATTATATCATTGTACAGACAGGTGCCAGATTGTCTCTCTTTGGTATTATATCATTGTACTGACAGGGTGCCAGATTGTCTCTCTGTGGTATTATATCATTGTACAGACGGGTGCCAGATTGTCTCTCTGTGGTATTATATCATTGTACAGACGGTGCCAGATTGTCTCTCTGTGGTATTATATCATTGTACAGACAGGTGCCAGAATGTCTCCTTTGGTATTATACATTGTACAGACTGCCAGATTGTCTCTCTGTGGTATTATATCATTGTACAGACGGTGTGCCCAGATTGTCTCTCTGTGGTATTATATCATTGTACAGCCGGGTGCCAGATTGTCTCTCTGTGGTATTATATCATTGTACAGACAGGTGCCAGATTGTCTCTCTTTGGTATTATATCATTGTACAGACGGGTGCCAGATTGTCTCTCTGTGGTATTATATCATTGTACAGACGGGTGCCAGATTGTCTCTCTGTGGTATTATATCATTGTACAGACGGGTGCCAGATTGTCTCTCTGTGGTATTATATCATTGTACAGCCAGGGTGCCAGATTGTCTCTCTGTGGTATTATATCATTGTACAGACGGGTGCCAGATTGTCTCTCTGTGGTATTATATCATTGTACAGCCGGGTGCCAGATTGTCTCTCTGTGGTATTATATCATTGTACAGACAGGTGCCAGATTGTCTCTCTTTGGTATTATATGTTGTACAGACGGGTGCCAGATTGTCTCTCTGTGGTATTATATCATTGTACAGACGGGTGCCAGATTGTCTCTCTGTGGTATTATATCATTGTACAGACGGGTGCCAGATTGTCTCTCTGTGGTATTATATCATTGTACAGCCGGGTGCCAGATTGTCTCTCTGTGGTATTATATCATTGTACAGCCGGGTGCCAGATTGTCTCTCTGTGGTATTATATCATTGTACAGACGGGTGCCAGATTGTATCTCTGTGGTATTATATCATTGTACAGCCGGGTGCCAGATTGTCTCTCTGTGGTATTATATCATTGTACAGACGGGTGCCAGATTGTCTCTCTGTGGTATTATATCATTGTACAGACGGGTGCCAGATTGTCTCTCTGTGGTATTATATCATTGTACAGCCGGGTGCCAGATTGTCTCTCTGTGGTATTATATCATTGTACAGATGGGTGCCAGATTGTCTCTCTGTGGTATTATATCATGTTATGATAATGTTCATTCAGGTCGAATGGTCAAGAATCACAACCCGAGAGTTGATCTCCAGCGGGGAAACAATCATGATCAAAAATGATTTTATGAGTGGGCTCAGGAAATATGAAGTGCAGGTGAGGACCAACGTGGATCGAGTGACCTACATGTTGGTGGTTCGTCGCATGCTGCAGCAGGACGCTGGCGTGTACCAGTGCCAGGTGAGAATCCAGTCGGTGTCACCACAACAGTGGCCGAAAAAACTAGGCACCATTTCAGTTCAAGGTCAGTGTTGCACATTTATTTCCGAACATTTGTGTTTCTGTAATAAAACCCATGTTTAAGGCTAAATTGTTTTCTGTTATTTTAATGCTTGAGAAGTGGTGGTGGCCTGCTTGCCTTCTACTGTAGAGATGTGGGGTTTCATCCCTGAGACACCTCATTTCCTTAATTTAGCAGGTGTAGACAGTGTCAGCATAGATATGAGATCATACTAACATAAAGACATGTTTGCAAGGTACCTCTGCATCCCAGGGTGCAAGAGGAAAGACTAAACAAGACTGTAAGGTACCTCTACATCCCAGGGTACAAGAGGAAAGACTAAACAAGACTGTAAGGTATCTCTACATCCCTGGGTAGAAGAGGAAAGACTAAACAAGACAGTAAGGTACCTCTGCATCCCAGGGTACAAGAGAAAAGAATAAACAAGACTGTAAGGTATCTCTACATCCTTGGGTAGAACATGAAAGACTAAACAAGACTATAAGGTACCTCTACATCCCAGGGTGCAAGAGGAAAGACTAAAGAAGACAGTAAGGTACCTCTGCATCCCAGAGTGCAAGAGGAAAGACTAAACAAGACTGTAAGGTACCACTACATCCCTGGGTAGAAGAGGAAAGACTAAACAAGACTGTAAGGTACCACTACATCCCAGGGTAGAAGAGGAAAGACTAAACAAGACTGTAAGGTATCTCTGCATCCCTGGGTAGAAGAGGAAAGACTAAACAACACTGTAAGGTACCTCTACATCCCTGGGTAGAAGAGGAAAGACTAAACAAGACTGTATGGTATCTCTACATCCCTGGGAAGAAGATGATGTAATGTATCACTACATGTGTTGGTAGAGTCAGCAAGGCAGTTCAATACCTCTACATCCCAGGGTAGAACATGAAAGACTAAACAAAACTGTAATATAATCTCTACATGTGTTGGTAGAGTCAGCAAGGCTGTTCAATACCTCTGCATCGCAGGGTAGAAGACAACAGATTTAATAAATATTAGCTCCACAGAATATTTGCCAGCTACCCAGCTCAGTTCGGCAACAAGTGCCAGAATCTGTACAGATCTGTTTGTAATCATTCATGCAATATTTTCAAATATATCATATTTTTTAAAGTAAATTATTGTTACAGACAACTGTTATTTTGGCTTGTTGCCACATACCAACAGAAAATTGAAACTGTTGTGTATATTTTGTGTAGTGGCTCCAACCATTCTACCTGGCGAGTCTACAGCTGTGCTGCAAGTGGACAGAGGTGGCAACTCCAGCTTGAAATGTTCGGCTACAGGCATCCCCTACCCCAACATTACCTGGACACGCTCTGATGGTGGTTTACTTCCTGTCTTACCAACCCCTGTGGCACTTTACAGGGTAGGGGCCATTTTGTTTCTAATAATTAACTATTGAGAGTTCACACTAGTTAAACATGCACCGAGAGAGTTCACACAAGTTAAACATGCACCGAGAGAGTTCACACTAGTTAAACATGCACCGAGAGAGTTCACACTAGTTGAACATGCACTGAGAGAGTTCACACTAGTTGAACATGCACTGAGAGAGTTCACACTAGTTAAACATGCACCGAGAGAGTTCACACTAGTTAAACATGCACCGAGAGAGTTCACACTAGTTGAACATGCACTGAGAGAGTTCACACTAGTTGAACATGCACTGAGAGAGTTCACACTAGTTAAACATGCACCGAGAGAGTTCACACTAGTTAAACATGCACCGAGAGAGTTCACACTAATTGAACATGCACCGAGAGAGTTCACACTAATTGAACATGCACGGAGAGAGTTCACACTAATTGAACATGCACCGAGAGAATTGAACATGCACCGAAAGAGTTCACACTAATTGAACATGCACCGAAAGAGTTCACACTAATTGAACATGCACCGAAAGAGTTCACACTAATTGAACATGCACCGAAAGAGTTCACACTAATTGAACATGCACCGAAAGAGTTCACACTAATTGAACATGCACCGAAAGAGTTCACACTAATTGAACATGCACCGAAAGAGTTCACACTAATTAAACATGCACCAAGAGAGTTCACACTAAATGAACATGCACCGAGAGAGTTAACACTAGTTGAACATGCACCAAGAGAGTTAACACTAGTTGAACATGCACCGAGAGAGTTCACACTAGTTGAACATGCACCAAGAGAGTTAACACTAGTTAAACATGCACCAAGAGAGTTCACACTAGTTAAACATGCACCAAGAGAGTTCACACTAGTTAAACATGCACCAAGAGAGTTCACACTAGTTGAACATGCACCAAGAGAGTTCACACTAGTTAAACATGCACCAAGAGAGTTCACACTAGTTAAACATGCACCAAGAGAGTTCACACTAGTTGAATATGCACCGAAGGTAAATAAATCGGTTACATATACTTACTGCATAACAAGATGTCTGATACTTACATGTTCCCAACATGGTGCTGACAGAAAAGGTTTGTTCAGTTTCTTCTTCTGCCGTTACAAGCATGTCATATGGGACAGAACAATAAACTGAAGCCTGGGAGATATCTGTACTGTGGGACTTCACAATTCAAATGCTTCAAAATTTGAACTTGGCATCCTAGTGAAGTTACCAAGTAAATTTTTCCTCACGTTTTGATTGTTCCCCCCCCCCCCCCCCCCTGTAAAGTGAACGCATGACATATGCCAGCATTTGCTACATGTCGACGACCTTCTTTCTTCTATATTACATCTGGCTCATGTTGCAGGTCAGTAACAAATAAACCAACCCTAAAATGCACCAAGCCGAACACCCGTGGAACACACACAAAATCTTTCATGTACAAAGATCATTAAACCTATCGCAGTTAACACAGCTAGGTGCACTGGGGATATGAGGCTAGTCTCAACCAATCGGGCCTCAGCAGGTGATGTCGTCACTGTTACAACAGCCACCTTTACTTCCCAGGGCTTCAACTAGTACGCATTTAAGACTTGGTCAACCTGGGAACCAAGGTCATGTATGAAAAACAAATCAGACTCAATTCAGATTTAAATCATGACCTTTGGAACTGCAGTTGAATATCCAACTGCTACACCACAAATCTTAACTTGGAGACATAAAACAAGGAGATAAAGGCAAGCAGTTATAACATGGATGATGTGTGAGAGACATACTGAGATTGTGAGTGGACGTGTTGAGTTTATCTATCATTGCCACATTATTTTTCAGAGCCCCGAGCTACCCCTTGTCAAAGTTGACATACAACACATGGGTGTCTATCGCTGTGTTGCCGACAACCACATCAAGCCTCCAGCAGAATATCTGGCTGAAGTTCTCGTCTTTCATGCCCCCAGAACGAGGGTGGTTCAAGATTCTGTTGGTCAGGCACAGAATCGGCGTTTCAGTGCCAAGTTGGAATGTATAGTTCAAGGTCAGTTGTTTGCAATTAGAAATGAGATCTCAATCAAATATTTTGTGCTAGTTTAGCAGCTGTTTCTAGATATTTGTTTGTGTAAGAGGGGCATTATCTTCTGCTTGTTTAGCTGCCTCAGTTTATAGAAAAGTGTAAGAAGGAGAGGTAACTCAGCCCCTTTTCTTCCATTTGCTTAGCTGGCTGAGTTTATTGAGAAGGAGAGATATTAGGTTTAGAATTAGGTTTAACATCATGGTACAAGGCTAGTAATCTATAAGTGCTCCGTTCTACTTCTAACTCAAGAGTGAGTAAAATTTTTTTGAAAAATCTCAGCGCAGTGCACGAACCCCTTAGCACCGGCGAGGATCCTGAAATACTTTGGGTAAATTTTTAACTCCAAATTTTGCCATAGCAACGCCGTAAGGCTACTCTTTTCGATTTATAATTGTCAAGGGATTCTTTTTTACGTGCGCAACAATACACATGGGCATCCGATCTGACTACCCATAGACCAGGGGAAATTACTAGAAGTCCAAGTGAAAAGAATCCCAGCCTTCAGGGTCCTGAACCTTTGACCTTCATCACACGAGGCAGACACCATGCCCTGACACCACTCAGGAGAGCTATTTTAGTCCGGTCCCTTCTGTCTGATTTTGTAGAGAGGTATGCAAGGAGAACAGCTATCTCAGTCCATTCTCTTCTCTTTGTGTAGCCAGCCAGCTGTGTCTTAACAACTGAGTCTAGCGCCTCTGTCCATACATTAAGGTATGCTGGGTATATGGTCACATATTTGTCCTGAGCATTCAGCACTCTGTGGTTGATACGGTGACAATTATGCTAGTCGTGTTTACTTCCCAAGACATTTTCTCTAACTCATTTTAGGCTGGGACTATCTACAAAGTCAGTTTTAAAAATCGGCCACCATGAGATTCACACACAGGACTGACTGTACAGCTGTTAACTTTTGAGTGTTTTTGCATGTGGGGGGGGGGGGGGGTTTAAAGGTGCCCTCTAGTGTTTAGTCCTTTCAATTCAAGAGGTGCCCTAGTTTACTTGTGTTACTGAAGGACAAAAAAAGCATCCATACTCTTATTGACTGGATAACTTTTTGTTTTAGATGTAAAATTGTTTGAAGTCTAAGTCTATCCCCCCAAAAATGTGATATTCTTTCGTCTGTTTTTCTTTCTGAGAGTATCTCTTGGGTAAGGAGCAGTGGCAGTAGAGTGGATAGATTTCTTGGTTATTACTTCTGTGGCAGTTGTTCCAGCTTGTTTCTGGCCTTGATCTAGATCTAGCCTCTTGAAGTTGGTAGCAAAAAAAATAGCAACCTCACCCCATTCTGTGATGGTGTAAAATATATGAAGGTCAACAGGTCATGCCTCTAACAGTTTAAACCTCTACAGGAGTATGTTGTTTCCTCTTCATATTTATATACGTGAGTATGTATGAATGTTTCTTTTTTGTCACTAGGTGCTTTGTACTTAATATTCATATTATGTGTATTGATATATAAACTTAAATGCGTTATACATAAAAAAGATGTCTGTGAAAGAGGAGTGGCTGGAACCGCCAGAAATGAGGCAGGCCTCATGGGTTCCAGTTTGTGATTTTTTGACCAAATGTAAGGCAGACCTGTGTTTTCAATTTATGACCTTTGACCAAATGTAAGGCAGGCACATGTTTTCAATTTACGACCTTTGACCAAATGTAAGGCAGGCGTGTGTTTCCAGTTTCTGACCTTTGACCAAATGTAAGACAGGTTTGTGTTTCCAGTTTGTAATCCTTTAACCAAATGTAAGACAGGTTTGTGTTTCCAGTTTGTAATCCTTTAACCAAATGTAAGACAGGTTTGTGTTTCCAGTTTGTAATCCTTTAACCAAATGTAAGACAGGTTTGTGTTTCCAGTTTGTAATCCTTTAACCAAATGTAAGACAGGTTTGTGTTTCCAGACTGAAACCCTTTGAGAGACAAAAAAAAAGCTTGATTTTTTATATTCATCCCAATTAACAATTTAGAGAAACTGAATTCACATATGAATGTTTCCTCTCCTACCATTGAATATATAAATATTTTATCACAGTTGTTTCCTTCCTTATCTGTTTGTAAATGTCTGTAATGTTTTTAGTCATTACTCTTCTGCCCCGGCTTAAATGAATATGTTTGCTGAACGTAAGAGTCAACTTCTTCTGCTAGAGTACTCCAAACCATCTCATAACTGACTGTTCTGTTTATTTCTGGCTTTTGCTCATCTTGTGACCCGAAGCCAACCGTCACTTGTTTATCAGAATTATCAACAGTGTTTGTATTTGCCATGATCTCATCTCAATGACAAGTTTGACATTAACAAGTTTTTGTCTCGTGGACAACCAGAATCATGAAGGCCATGGAAGTAATGGTCTCCTGTTTATCTGAGCTTATGACCAAGTTGGTTTTTGTCTGAATGTTCTCATCTCATGTGTATTAGTTGATCAGTCTGTGTGTGTTTTATCTCTCTATTATTGTTTTCTGTTGCTTATCTCATCTCATAACCAGGTGTTTCTGTTTGTCTGTTGCTTATCTCATCTTGTGACCCGGTGTTTGTTTTTGTCTCTTGTTTATCTCATCTCATGACCCGGTGTTTGTTTTTGTCTCTTGTTTATCTCATCTCATGACCCGGTGTTTGTATTTGTCTGTTGCTTATCTCATCTCATGACCCAGTGTTTGTATTTGTCTATTGCTTATCTCATCTTATGACCCGGTGTTTGTATTTGTCTGTTGCTTATCTCATCCCATGACCCGGTGTTTGTTTTTATCTCAACCAGGTGAAGAACGTGCAAGCAAATGACTACACAACATATTACTGTGTGGCTGTTAACAACTTTGGATCTGCAAACTCCACAATTGTACTCTTTGGTTAGTCGCCTTTTCCATTTATTTCAGGTCACTTTAGCTCAGTTGATTTCATTGGTTTGTTGTTTTGCTTATGGGGAAAGTTTTTAGTGCATGCAGGTAGCTGCCATTCTGATGCTAGAGACTGGACCATGTGGGATACACTGATGTCAGTTCTCTTTACCTAAATTAAACTGGCTGTGTTTCTAAGACAGAGAGAAAGAGAGAGGCAAAAGGGACCAGTTGAATCTTCACAAACTGATTGGCAGTGAAGTGGAGTATTGTGCCTGTACAGGATGGGATGAGGTCTGAGTTACCTTAGCAGGGAGGGGGGGGGGAGATTAAGTCCTTGAGGAGCCGTGGGTCATTGTTGCCTAGAAAACACACAATCCAGCCATGAATTGTCACGAATCCTAAGTCTGACAGTAACTCTGGGCTCTCAAGTTAGTTAAGGTAATAGTAAAAAGAACTGCAGACCGCTCTTCATAACACTGTGTTCTGGCATATGTGAAATTATCAACCTTGAGCACTCTCTACACCAGCACTGGAACCTCGGTTTCCTCGATGTCCCAGCGGGAATTTTTAGGACAAACACAGAAGACAAACACAGAAGACAAACACAGAAGAAGAATGAAATTACTGGACATGTCTAATGCAGTAAAAGAATTACTTTTGTTTGAAATGCAAACTGACATCTACAGACAACCATCACATCAAGCTGGATAAATCTTTCTGATCTTTTCAATCATTGTAATGTCTCCGCTGAACTTTTCAATCATTGTAATGTCTCCGCTGAACTTTTCAATCATTGTAACTTCTCCGCTAAACTTTTCAATCATTGTAATGTCTCCGCTAAACTTTTCAATCATTGTAATGTCTCTGCTGATCTTTCACATCATTGTAATGTCTCTGCTGATCTTTACCTTCATTGTAATCTCTCTGCTGATCTTTACCTTCATTGTAATCTTTCTGCTGATCTTTACCTTCATTGTAATCTCTCTGCTGATCTTTACCTTCATTGTAATGTCTCTGCTGATCTTTACCTTCATTGTAATCTCTCTGCTGATCTTTACCTTCATTGTAATGTCCCAACTGATCTTTCTTATCATTATAATGTCTCCATTGATCTTTTCCATCTTTATTATGTTCTCCTATGACTCGGCTAATCTTTCCAATCATTGTGATGCCTCTCTTCCTATAACATGATCATACACTATTGATGTGTCAGTATTTGATTCCTGTTTATCCTGAACTATATGTTTACTGAATGATATACTTTTCATTCAGTTTTATATCTTTTCCTGAACTGTATTGATGTTTGTATGTGCATTGTGAATGTTAATGTCTCTCATAACTCTGTTGTTTCTCATAACACCATATTTTATGTTGTTATGCAAATGTTGTAACATCTCTCTGTATTTACATCCATGTTTCTAAACTGACCATGTTAGTTTCTGGTTAATGTCTGTGCATTCTCATACATTAGTTTGCAGTCTCCCTGTGAACTGTCTCTGTGTGTATTACATATCAGTGCATTCTCATACATTAGTTTGCACTCTCGTTGTGTTCTGTCTCTGTGTGTATTACATATCAGTGCATTCTCATACATTAGTTTGCACTCTCGTTGTGTTCTGTCTCTGTGTGTATTACATATCAGTGCATTCTCATACATTAGTTTGCACTCTCGTTGTGTTCTGTGTCTCTGTGTGTACATTACATATCAGTGCATTCTCATACATTAGTTTGCACTCTCGTTGTGTTCTGTCTCTGTGTGTATTACATATCAGTGCATTCTCATTCATTAGTTTGTGCAGTCTCGTCGTTGTGTTCTGTCTCTGTGTGTATTACATATCAGTGCATTCTCATTCATTAGTTTGCACTCTCGTTGTGTTCTGTCTCTGTGTGTATTACATATCAGTGCATTCTCATACATTAGTTTGCACTCTCGTTGTGTTCTGTCTCTGTGTGTATTACATATCAGTGCATTCTCATTCATTAGTTTGCAGTCTCGTTGTGTTCTGTATCTGTGTGTATTACATATCAGTGCATTCTCATTCATTAGTTTGCAGTCTCGTTGTGTTCTGTCTCTGTGTGTATTACATATCAGTGCATTCTCATTCATTAGTTTGCACTCTCGTTGTGTTCTGTCTCTGTGTGTATTACATATCAGTGCATTATTACCAGTAGAGCTTCAGGCTAATGATGTTAATGTCTTCCCTCCGACAGAAACTACCGAGTGTCAGGGACCAAACTGCCCATCCTTGCCTCCGTCTGGAACATCGCATGCCGTATCCTCGTTGATTTCCATTTTCTTTGTCATGATGACATTTGGTGCTTTGATCTCTGAGAAATGTCATGTTTGTATCATGTATTGATGTTGATGTTTGTATCATGTGTTGTTTGTATGTTTGAGCTTGTGCATCAGTGTGAGGGACCCACTCCTTACCCACACAGGGCTGCAGCTTGTATTGGGCTGGTGAAATCATAGAAGCCCCAGTTATAACTCATTTTGAGGTTGAAAGGGCAAGTGTGTGTGGGGTTTGCCATCCGGATTGAATCTCAGTGTGGTCAGACTTTCATGCAACAGCCTGGAGATGCAACAATGGAGGACAGAATTATTGTGGGTGTGCTTTTCTGTATGTGTAGTACAGCCATTTAGTTGAATAACTGTTTGTGGCCAAAGCAGTGTAATGGCCTGTGGGTGTATAAACATTCCAGTCTGGTTGATTTGAATATTTTGATGCCCACATATCCCTGGGCTTGGCCCAGCCTCAGTGAAATGAACAATATCTTGCTTTGCCAGCACCTCATAGAATTAGCAGACGAATTGTTTTTTTTTCTTTACTGATTCAGACCTTGCTGTCAGTTTATGCAAGGCTGCAGTTCTAATTTTACAGCTCCACATCTAATTGTTATCAGTTTATGTCGCTTCATGTTTCTCTTTAAGCAGTGGGTAGCCCACTTCCACTTGCCTAGAATGTCACAGTTTTCAGACACAATTGACCAGATAGATTCTAGCCAACCTGGCATATCCGTGCCCCAAGTGTTGTAGGTCACTGGGGTCATTGGCAGATTGTTCTCTTCCACAAATGACTCCTCTAACATGGAGTGAGCCAGCCTTGACATTTCTGGGCCTTAATGTTTCTGGGAGGTCAAGTGGCCACCAGAATTTTGACTTTTGGTCAAGAAAATGACAGCCAACTTACTGGCCTAATCACATGATTGTTTATATTGTCATGGCAACATATCCAGCAGGGTCGTTCAACTGGAAGCATGATTGTTTACTTTGTGCTGTTGGTTTTTTTATATTTTTTTATTAATGAAACTGGCGAGATATTTTGATGCACTGGTTTGTGTGTGTGTGTGTTTGGGCGCACAGTGTTGCAGGGACCAACACGTTTCTGGATACTGTGTGTGTTTTGCTTGTGTGGCATCAGCTACGTGTCTGCCAGAAAGCCATAAGTGCCTGGCGGTTAAAGCCATGATATCTGTCTGAATGGTCTGATTTGTACTAATATCAGTACGTATATTTACTGATAACTTTCTGATATCAGTTTTGTTTGAGATACATGCGATTTATTAAAAACATATTATCTGTACACAAATGAGAACATAGGAGGAAAAGAGAATGAGAGTATGCAAGTGTTAGATAGACCGTTTTCTTTGCTTATGAAAAGAGGTGTTTATAGAGCATTGTAATGGTCAGAAAGATCATTGATTGATGAGGCAGATGGAGAGAAAGGATGACATGGAGAAATATCTTCAACAGAACTAAAACAGAACCAGGGTCTGACCTGCTTCAGCATCTGCCAGCCACATGATGGGAAGGAGGTTTCATTGAATCACATCAGAAGGATTCCTTCCATCCTTTGTCTGTCCTGACATGTTCTTCACCTTGAGTTGAACAGATGCTCTGATGTGTTTCAGACACCGGCATCTCTGCATGCCACCTGAAGTGTACATGCTCATTGATTCACATTTTTGTAAATAGTTTTATTGTGTTTGTATTATTCAGCAGATAGGTCTGGTTTAGGCAACAGTTGTAGACATCCTGGATCTAGATAAGTTAAAGTTGTACACATCCTGGATCTAGATATGTTAAAGTTGTACACATCCTGGATCTAGATAAGTTAAAAGTTGTACACATCGTGGATCTAGATAAGTTAAAGTTGTACACATCGTGGATCTAGATAAGTTAAAGTTGTACACATCGTGGATCTAGATAAGTTAAAGTTGTACACATCCTGGATCTAGATAAGTTAAAGTTGTACACATCCTGGATCTAGATAAGTTAAAGTTGTACACATCGTGGATCTAGATAAGTTAAAGTTGTACACATCCTGGATCTAGATAAGTTAAAGTTGTACACATCCTGGATCTAGATAAGTTAAAGTTGTACACATCCTGGATCTAGATAAGTTAACGTTGTACACATCCTGGATCTAGATAAGTTAAAGTTGTACACATTCTGGATCTAGATAAGTTAAAGTTGTACACATCCTGGATCTAGATATGTTAAAGTTGTACACATCCTGGATCTAGATAAGTTAAAGTTGTACACATCCTGGATCTAGATATGTTAAAGTTGTACACATCCTGGATCTAGATATGTTAAAGTTGTACACATCCTGGATCTAGATATGTTAAAGTTGTACACATCCTGGATCTAGATAAGTTAAAGTTGTACACATCCTGGATCTAGATAAGTTAAAGTTGTACACATTCTGGATCTAGATAAGTTAAAGTTGTACACATCCTGGATCTAGATATGTTAAAGTTGTACACATCCTGGATCTAGATATGTTAAAGTTGTACACATCCTGGATCTAGATATGTTAAAGTTGTACACATCCTGGATCTAGATATGTTAAAGTTGTACACATCGTGGATCTAGATAAGTTAAAGTTGTACACATCCTGGATCTAGATATGTTAAAGTTGTACACATCCTGGATCTAGATATGTTAAAGTTGTACACATCCTGGATCTAGATAAGTTAAAGTTGTACACATTCTGGATCTAGAT